AATTACGTTACTCGGAAAAATAAAATAATGAAGAAGGCAGAGTAAATGTAATATTGTTCCTGTTAGTTTTCGCGACTCGACTCTATCATCAGTCATGAGATTATTCTAATTTGCAATTATTCATTTCGTCATCGCGCTCGGAAAATTGTGCTAGAGCAACGCTCCGTTACGCGCGTAACTCGGAAGCGCGCATAGCGAGGGCAAAATTCCTATTCGGGACCGTTAGTAAAGTTCTCTATTTCTATCTCGCTCGTACGCTAATGCGGCGCGAGCCGCCGTTGAAAGGCCGGTCGTAAGTATCGGAATATGCCTACAATACCCCGATGCGGAACAGTAAAAAGATCCAGCATCTCCGAGATGCCACCCATAAGATGGAAATTTACGATTTTATTGCGAGTTTTAAACATCCGTTTAAAGCAAATCCGCGATCCAGGAAGGTAATAGGTTCGTATTATATTTTATAGGAATCGTTATTATTCTCGGATCTCTTTTAAAATGGGTTCGGTTATTTTTTTTTTTTAAACTAATTACGTATATATCGCCTAATATCGCTTTCCTAAGATCCACGAAAGCTAATCATGCGTGTTTTATATTTCGCAACATAATATTTTAGAAACTTTTATCGCGCGTACAAGATGTTTCATGCTTGGCATTTTATACCGCTAGCCAAGGGTAACATCAACCAGGTGTTTGTCTTCGATAAAAGTTTCAGATTAAAGCAAGACACTCGGCTCTTTTTAACACGTGTTACTTCAATCATTTTTCATTAAGAAGAAAGTACGATAACAATAATAATAATTGCGAATAATGAAGTCACAAAAGAGGATTGTGTAACGGACGGAATCGCAATTGAGATTAAATCGTGATAAATCAGAAATTTACGCCGAAGAATGTCCAGGTATATCGAAGAATTTATAACCGGATTGTACGTCCAAGATACAATTGTTACCTTTAGTTTAGACATGCGTGACTGATGCATACGTGTACATTGTAATAATGGTCTCTCTCTGACCAAGCATGCTTCCTTTTTACGATGCTATAAACGATCGGAGAGAATTGTTTTCGAAGAAATATGCCGTAGAAAAATTAGTAGCTTTGCATAAAAAAATGCATATTGCGACTTTACACGCCTCGCTTTTTCTTAATATCTTAAAAAAAAAACCCGATCGCTTTATTATAGTCTTTCTCCTATAGTGACGATATCCAATTCCCATACGCTAGAAATCGGTATTCGTCGCACGCGAACAATTCCCAGACGATTTTCCATTCGATATTGGAAGAATGGTGCGACTCGTATCACCTCCGCAAACCCATCATTACGGACCGAGTCCTTCCTCCACGCGTACATTGTATGTTTATTTGTACCAGTTTACTGCAAAACCTTACCGCGTGCCAATTAAGTCGAAGTCTCAAATCAGCCGACATCGGTTAACTTTGTAATCGCGGTTCATAGGTACTTGCCCGTATTTTTCAGATCATAACTACCCGGGTAAAGGAAGCGGGTTCAATTAATCACGGGTAATTAAACCGTTAAATCGGTTAATTGAATTTTTTCTTCCTCTCTCTCTATCATATTATATCACAAGAGGAGAAATGTTGCGACTGGCGAACAGAAAAAAATTAATCAAATGGTAGTTGATTGAATTTACTTTTGATTAGAAGCGTATTTTGTTCTTGTTATTACTTTACAAAGAGGTTCTTATTCGATTTTTTTCTTCAAGAATAATAATATATATTTTAATATATATTTTTTTAATAATAATGATATAGTATATTTTTCTTTAATAATAATAATATATATTTTCCGTAATTCTAATAATATATATTTTATTAATTTAATTAGATATATATATATATATATATATATATATATATATATTAAATAATATATATCTATTAATATATATTTTATTAATTTCTAATAATATATATTTTACGCTCGAAAATAAAATAATATACCGATGCGAGCAAAAAATCCAACATGATGCGTCGTAATGCATTTGTACAATTCGGGATAGCGTTTCTTTGCACGATATATAATGGACATCCTTTTTTACGCGACACAATCTCCGTTCTCTGTGTCTGCGCCAGATCTTTACGTCGCTTTGCGGCGAAGCAGTGTAACATAGATAGACAAATAACTCCATTACGCGAGATATTATGTACCCAATTTACGCATTTTGCCGTCATTCGTGCGGTTATTACAGATAAGTTAGAATAGTTAATCGTTATTAATGTGCCTCCCCGCTCCGTTATACGCGCCTAGCATATTTACCGTATCCCGTGGAACGAAATCGCCCGCTTGTAATCAAGAGACGCGTTATATTCGCTTATTTGATCGCAAATGACTCAACGGTTTCATACACGATTGGCGTATACCGCCGTTATCCCGACAAAACGAGAGGAAGAAAGAGAGAGGAAAATTGTGTCTTAAAATCAAGTGTGCGAATTAAAGCCAATTGCAGAAATTTCTACACAGAAACAAAATAAGTGTCAAATCAAAACTTATATATTTAAACTAATGCGTTCATTGTTTCGTATATACGCGACAATTTATAATCTTCTTGGAAGAATTTAATAATTTTAAATTTCAGCAATATTACAGTCTTATTTTAATATTGTAATTATCACCTCAAGAATATATAATTATTTAATTCTACTTTAAGAAAATTATAATCTTTGATTTAGAAATGTTATTTTCTATCCAACATTGTTTCTTTTCCATTCAAGAAAATTAAATCTTAAATCATAAGAATACATTTTTCTCGATTGAACTGTATAAAATGGCTTCATTCAAGCAAGCAATTATTCAAGCAATTATATTTCTCTTTAATTAACAATATAATCTCATTTCGAGATTTCCATGTTAAAACTAAATATATTTTCAAAAGATTCACAAGAATGTCCATTTTTTTCTGTGTGCATTTATATCGAACAAAAAGAAAGAAAATAATTTCTCCCTTCGGCTAGGAAAAGATTCGCCCAAGATGACCCGATTGCCTGATTGCTTGTTGCTTCATCGCGAACGAAGAGATGAAACGATGTACACTCGATTAACTTGGATAATTATATGTACGTATCCCGTGCGTTCAAGTATCGTACTCGTGCACACCGATTTACTTTCTCGTTTTTGCCATTTTGCACGTGCGCCCATCTACTCGCGGCGCCGCTCGCAAAACAGCTCGTAGAACTGCATATTCTACATACGGAAGAGAGATACATACGAAGAGATGCACACGCTACTTTCTCGGTCGACCTATATGCGATTTTTTTCCTCAAACCCCATACGATCCTCCGTGTTGGCTGTATAACTCGAATCTGGGTGCCTTTCTATCTCGCATCATCGGGTACGCGCTTTTCTGCGCTCCTTTAAAGTAGGGGAAGTGAATAGGAAGAGCGTGTACAGAGGAAAGAGATTTGGAATTCTTTTACTACAAGAGAAAAGAGGAAAAAGCGCCAAAAACTTCACTTAACATAGCAATTTAACGTCACGTCCAACATCTTTGATAATTTAAAATGTTAAATGTTTTGTAGCCGTTTTTCGGTCTCTTATTTCTCTTCGATCTACTTGGAATCTAATTTGCAGGACTTGCATTTAACATATTTGAAAAGGTGAGAGAAAAAGAGTATTTTTGATTAGATTGCACGGAGAAAAAGAATCTGGTTGCATTAATTAGAAATCTGGCAGATTCAATCAGTATGTCTGTTGGAAAATGGACGAATCAGAGTTCCTCTAGGAATTACTAGATGAGTATGATTAATTTCTTCCTGTTAAATTTACTAAATTTTCTTGGTAATAATACTAAATTTACAAAAAAAAAATTGCATCACTCTGTCCTATTTAATTAATATAACAAGAAGTCTTATTAGATCCAACTAGAAAATACTAACCAAATCCTTGTAGAAAAGTCTATAAAACGTTCTAGTTATAAAAAAAATCGAATCTTATTATGAGAACTAGAAATTCTGCTTGGTTTAAAAATACCTTCTATCAGATAGAATCTTGTTGATACAATCAAACGATTTTTCTTAATGTGCATTTTCTCACACTGAGAAAAAAATCTGATTGCATTAATTAGAAATCTGGTAGATTCAATCAATATGTTTGTTGGAAAATGGACGAATCAGAATTCCTTTAGGAATTATCAAATGAGTATGATTAATTTCTTCCTGTTAAATTTACTAAATTTTCTTGGTAATAATACTAAATTTACAAAAAAAATTGCATCACTCTATCCTATTTAATTAATATAACAAAAAGTCTTATAGATCCAACTAGAAAATACTAACCAAATTTTTGTAGAAAGGTCTATTAAACGTTCTAGTTATAAAAAAATGAAGTCTTATTATGATAACTAGAAATTCTGCTTGGCTTAACCAAAATGCCTTCTATCGGATAGAGTCTTGTTGATACAATCAAACGATTCTTCTCAGTACATAACTTAAAAGAGCAGCTTTGAATAGCGAATTACGACAGATGTGGGACGATGAAAGTTATTACAATTTATTCTGTATTCCGTGAAACGTGAATGAACAATAACGAGAACACGTTGATTTTCACATCGATATTTTCTCGCGAGACCTCTCTACCTGTCTTCCGGATGACTTCCGATTTTCTTAGCGAAATTCACCAAGTCAAGTCGCGAATGACACGCTACTTCAATCTTTACGTTAAACCGTACAGAACGTTGACGTTTCGAAAATCATTGCGTCGCGCGTTTCGGTCTACATGCGGAACAAACGCGTTGTTTAAAGAGGAAACAAACATTCCCCCGGAGAATTTTGCGAAATTAGTACGTCGGCGCGAGAGAATCTAATGTATAATTCAATCGGGACGCGATATCCTGTTGGCGGTATCCCAAGTAATTACAAGCGGGAATCTATGCCGGGGTAGTTGAAAACGGCGGTTTTCGAGGCAAAACCGAGTAACACGAGGCACACGACTCCAGCGAATAGACGGAACAGTCGAAGAGCCGGTCAGTCGAGATTAATGCACTTACCTCGCTGGTGTAATTTGTCGTCAGCTTGATTTGCGGTCTAATCTTGCCGGGCGACTCTCGCGTCTCCTTGGCCGACGTTAGAGGCACGGTGGTCGTGACATCGGCCACGACGGAGACTGCTGATTTTCTCAACGACAACACCGTGGCCGCGGTGTGCTGAGGCGTGGGCGAGATTATTCGCGGCGAAGTCTCGGTGAAGGCGGGACTCGAGGCTGCGTTCTGCGGATCGAGGGATCCGGAGACGGCGAGGAGGCTCGCCGTCGACGATATCGACGAGGAGGTCGTCGTCGTCGACGTCGCGATCGACGTCGTCGGCGAGATCGCCGGCAGCTTGAGCATCGTCGTGGCGGATGTGATAGCCGCCGTCGTCGCGATCGACGAGGGCGACGACGAGTGCGACGACGAGAGCGACGACGAGTGCGACGTCGTGTTCCTTATGGTGTAAGGAAGCGTCGCGTTGACTACGATCGGTCTCAAGGCCACCGTCGTGGCGGTGGTATTTTTCACGGATGCGATCGACGTGGTCTTTTTTCCCTTGACCGGGTCGTCGGGTCGACCACCCTTCGACGAGGCTGGCACGGCTGACGCTGTCATCAGCAGCGCGAGGAAAACGCAACATTGGATGGCCCGCATCTTCTCGACTCGATGTTAGGAATAAATCGCTTCCGCTATTTTCGCTTTCCTTCGGAGAGTCGCTCCTCTTATCGCAAGAGCAAACGAGGTTTCCGCTCGGAACCTGCGAATAAGGAATCGTGTTAGTAATTTTGTACGTGGTAGGCTAGTGTAGAAAGGCTAGTTTAGAATTTGTTTGTTCTATCTACCGTGTTTGGGAATGAAAAATATTTGAAGGGAAAAGTATTAGTGATATTTGCGCTTTCTTGTTTGCGCATGGAATCTCTCTGTGTATTACATTACATTTTTATTCTTATTTTGCATTTAAAAAAATCCGTCATTCTCGCTTTCCCGTGTCGAATGAGGGAAAGGATTATAGATCGCGTGTCTTTGCGGTTTCCAGAGATTACGTAATACAATAACATAAAACGTAACACATCTATCATTACGTACTTATTATTCAAAGCAATATCAACAGGTGGAACTCTCTTTCTCTCATAATTAATTATGTTGCACACGTGCAAAGTTTATATTTTAGAAAATCTGAAAAAAGTGATTCATTTAATTCGAGAGAGGTGATAGCTTTATCGTGATGAAAATGTTGCAATCTAATCGTAATTACGATACGATAGATTTATAAGAATCGTGTTCAGATTCCGTGAAATGTATGCAAAATATTCTGCAATTATAGCATCTTTTTCTCATATTTTTTCGTATTTCTTTGATGAATACGATTGAGTCGATTATCTGGTCGATCTGCTTTGATTAAATGCGAATTTATCGCGTGGCTTTTATTTTCAATTTCAAGTTCTCAAAATATTTGTGTCGACACGTAGGAATTAGAACGGACGAGGAAGTCTAGCGGGGGAGAAGGAGAGAAACGCGCATTCATTTTGCTCTTTCTGAATGTCCGCGCATTGGTCCATGGCGAGACCCGCTTCTTATCCGCTTCCCGACCTACGTATTTTCCTTTCACGTGCTCAATCCTGTCTTTTGCTGCAACAGTTATCGCACGTTTGCCATACGACACTCTGGTGAAATTGGGTCGTTCGGTATAAACCGCGCCGATACCGAAGCCGTTATCTCGTTGCATTTGCAAGGCCGTATCAAACACCGCACGCACGCTTGGAGCATCATATGTTAGATATTACGTATGTAAATGTAACTCGCGCTAAATATACGATACAGAAATATCTAACGGAAGTGAGAACGCGTCGAGGAATGAGATACGCATCGTTTCGACTGAGATAACCATTCGCGCAACGACGTGATAAATGATATTGATTAAATATGATCGACGAGCTTGAAAAGCGTAACACGTATCAGGTTAATAATAAATTTATTGAATTTCTCTATCGAGCGTATAGTTAATAAATCCGTAGAATTTTTTTATTACAGAGACACCTCTGGATTGATTTTCAATGAAAATTATTTGCAGAAATTATTTGAAAATTTCTTTCGCACCTTTTTGCTATTTCTCTTGCGTCACAAGATAAACCGCACAAATGATGGAGAATTATTTTCCACGCTTAAACCGCAAACGAAGCTTTTAAATATCCTCGAGATCGAGTGTGATTACGCAAACAATATAGTAATTAGATTATTTTCTTAATGGAGGGCGGCGGAAGAAACGGTCCGAGAGCAGGCGAGCGGTGACATCAACGAGTGTCGGAGAATGAACGCAAAAGAGAGACGGCGGACATACGTTTCCACGTGTCACGATAATGCAAGTCGCGTGAGAGAAAATTATTCGAAAATAAGCAAATCTTAATGTATTGTACAATGTTAGGATGATTATACTTAATAATATACAATTATTACAATTATTACTTAACAATATACGATTATACTTAACAATACATAAAGATATGGGAATGTTATACTTTATTCTTTGTCTTTGATCACACTGAGAAAAAAAAGTTGTCCACTTGACTAAACCATTTAACTAAATTATTATTTTTTTAATGGAAATATTTAATTATTTAAATTAAATAATACATATTAAATCTAACATGACATCTATTTAACTTAATATTTAAATATTTCAATTAAAAAAATAATAATTTAGTTAAACGGTTTGGTCAAGTTAACAACTTTTTTTCTCAGTGCAGGAATAAAAAAAATAGGCTCCTCTATAAGAATAATTGTTTGTTTAGAATTAGGTTCACCTAACTCTTTAATTCTTGATGATCAAACCTTTAATACTTTAATAACTAGTCCTGCTTTTATTATAATTTTTTTCATAGCTATATTATTTTCATAGTTACCTTTTATAATTGAGAATTTTGGAAATTTTCTTGTGCTCTTAATATTAGGATCTCCTATAATATATATATTCGAAAGTTGTTACATACTTAAAAGAGAAAAATCTCATTTTTCTCTATTTAATTAGCCATGTGATACGCGACATTGGACAAGCGAATAATCTCACCGCTTAATATAAATATCGAGCGATGACTATATTAATTGTGAGAGTAAAGGGAATGTTTATGGGTCGATTCACATGCGTTTGTTTCGGCAATTTGTCGGATTAACGAGATTGAAAGGAAAGCCGACCGATTAGTGCTGGATGTAAGTCCGAGAGAATCTCGTTTCTTTGCATTTTATGTCCGCATGAGTAATGTATTTCGCGCAATTGAAGATACGCGACCGGAAAACAAAGGGAAACAGACCCGCGGCGATTCGCCGACGACGAATGTAACTGTCTAACGGATCCTCGATTAAATTGATTCGACATGTTATGGCCTTTTCCCTTGTCGTGGCTTATTCATGCAACGTTACATCATTCATCAAGCGAATGATTGTATCGAAAAAACGTGCCATATGTTCCGCTTTCTTCGAAATCGTTCAAAAGACCTACAATTAACTGATTTATTCTTAGAAGTGTAAAGTTGAAAGAGCAAATCGAGAATAAGAAATCAATGTCTATCGCTAATGTAAAAGTAAAATGAGATTTCTTTGTTGCATAATTTGTTCCGCAAAAGATAACGGCGATAACATCATCCGTTCGTTGTAAAGAGCAAGGAGCAATATTCGATATAAGAAGAAAAAGAAGAGGTTCTCCGAGGTACTCTGATATTTGAAGTAAGACATTTAATGGAGGATACACCCACCGCCCCGATTCGCATCGATAGCGCCGGTAGTTGGACATGTTCCGTAGATTGTAACGGAAGTAAAGAGGGAATATTGCTTCTTCTGAAGAAATATGTGCCTAGTTCGCGGCGGAATTATCGACATCGAATGAATATCGCTCGCAAATAGAGCAAATCGAAAAAAGATACATGTATCTCCTCTTTAGTTTTAATTGAATTAATTGGGATATATTTCACAATGTTGCTCGAATTTATTGCATCGATAGTAAATATATTTATAGAAATTATATCAGAGAATACTTAGCATCGTGAACCTAGAGCTAAAGTTGCAATCATTCTTTTATTAAAAAAGATAAAAAACTAAACCAATAGCAATCATTTTACCGGAACTCAATAAATTGCACCAACAAACATTATAATAGCGATATAAAATAGTAATTAATATAATAATATACTGAGAAAAAAAAGTTGTTAACTTGATCAAATCGTCCAACTAAATTATTATTTTTTTAATTGAAATATTTAAGTTATTTAAATATTTCAATCAAAAAATTAAATATTTATAATTATTAATTATAAATATTATTAATTATTATAAAAATTATATTTATAATTAAAGTTAAACATTTATGTTATGTTAGATTTAATATGTATTATTTAATTTAAATATAATATTTCAATTTAAAAAAATAATAATTTAGTTTAACGGTTTAGTTAACAACTTTTTTTCCTCAGTGTAGATAATATAATAATTAAATGCATATTTTACATAATACTCATACTTGTTAATTGTTATAGAAACTATAAAAAATAACAAGAATATATACAATTAAGAATATATACATTAAAAATTTATACAGATATATGGTGAATTACATGTGTGCATGTTTTCAAAACCATGACATTAATTTTCAATAATATCAAGTATAACAAGTCATCATCTCATTTGCGTGCATATATCCATTAATATTTAAAACAAAAATGTTAGTTCGTACCTTGTGCTGCGCGTAAGTAGACTGACTGACCCTCGACCTTGACTTTCGTCCTCGCTTCGCCTCGACTGCGACCTCGGTAGCGACCTCGACCGCTATCCCTGATAGGAAAGAAGGAAGTTCTCCACTCGCTGAGAAGCCGGTAGACCAATCGGTTTTACAATCCAGCACCCGCTGTCTTTCGGTCGGTTTCCCCTCGAGAAGTTCTGCAGTTCGTTCTTGCACTATAACAATCGGAATACGCGAGATATTCTGGCCCGAACCGACACCCAAGACCGCGATGACAGTTCTAGCGTTGACAGTTCTGGCACCCGTGCGTTTAACCCTCTTCGCGTCCCTCGTTATTTCGAGACGAGCTTTGTTTGGCTGCTATCGTGAGTTTCTGCAGAGACTGCTTAGATGAAGATGAAGGAAACTCGCGAGATTGTTTCGGGGTTTGCGCCCGACTGCGGCCTCGCGTAGGACGCTCCGTGCCTATGAGTCCCCGCTAGTCCCACTTACCAACCAACCAGAAACTGCTCGGGTACACTCGGGAATCCTAAGCTGTGCATCTCCACCAATCCACCTTCCACTTCTTCCTCCGCTTCGCGTCCTGCTCACTTTGTCTTCACCACGTACATAGGGTTTGCGCACGTCCGAGATTTACTCGTTACTTTTCGTTCTTTCGGCGCAATGAAAGACGAGCGAGCGAGTTTCGCGAACTCAATTGTAGATTTCGGGAACTTTTTCAATCGCATATCTCGTGAATTGTTGATTGATTTTATAATAAATTATCGGAGAAGAGTTTGTAAATTTTTTCCTTATTTTTGCTTTTCGAGAAACTAATATTTAGATACAAAAAGTTATTCTTAAATAGCTATCAATTATTCCAGTTTGGTCTTAAATCTATCTAATTATTATGCAGAGATTTATTAAGACGACTAAACCCTGTGCGTGTCTCTTCACCTTTCTAATAAAGAGAAATTTCTAAACATTATTTATAGTTATAACTTTCTGATTATTTTCTATTTATGAGAAAATTATATGGGACTTATTTATAAATTAATTTTTACATTTATGGATGAAAATTAAGAATTATATCGATAAAACAAGAGGTATATTATAATAAAGAGGAAAAAATAAATAGACAAATCTAATAAATTTAAAAATTATAGAAAAAAAAATTATAGTATTATTTTTCACGCATTACCATCTGCGCTTTGCATGGTCTAAAATAGCCTACTTTATTATCATTATTGATTTATCATTTGGATCATTTATGTACTTTGTGTTAATTTTAATCAAAATTCTTTGATCTTTTGCGAATAAATTTAATTTACAAACTATCACAAACGTTAAAATAGATATTACAATTATTTCAACCGATTTACATTCGAAAATAAACAAGAATTACATTATTTTGAAGAGCTTATTCTAGAAAGACTATCGCCCAAGCAATCTATCGGCGTGTCGGACCACGTTCATTCTTGTAAATCCAATGCTTACATAGCGAGAAATAATTCTTTATGAATTATACGCGAGAGAGCAATCTTCGTGATTATTATTTTTCATCTTGTCGATGGGCTCTCGCTTTATCGCGATTTTTTGATCGTAGTAGACACGGTCGAGTAACATATTGAGTACACGGCCTTTCTCCAAAGATCGAATGCGTATTCTTCTTCTTGGCGATGCATCTCGGTGAAAGTCTGCGGCTATATTAGACATGAGATCGATTTGACGTGGACGCTAATCATTGTCTGCGATGCAACGTGAGGGAATTATTCGGCTGCAGTTCGTGCACTGTTCCTCGCGAAGCAACGAGAAAGGCAAGAAATTAGATGCTCGGTATCGATTCTATCGGGAACACGGCGCCCAGCTGAACCACTGGCAATCGGAAAAACCGATCTGTTCTTTACTCCTGTAAGTTTTTTACGCCCGAGTGCAGTCTTCGGAAAGAGGAACAATGTAAAGAATTCTAAAAAGTGTGTCGGCGAACAGCTTCAATCATGCGACGACGTGTTTTTCGTGCGAGGAGAATCTAATACGCGAGGAGACGTAAGATTCTACAGGGAGCTGGAATAATAAAAATACTTTTAATGTCCATAACGCGAGAGTTGTGAAAACATGCGATGTCCAAATAAGTTTTCACCCGAGGAAAATTCCCCTTCATATTCATGAGAGAATTCGCTTTCTAAAATTGATACGAGTCTTAACAATAATGCCCTGTGTACGATGGCGCGATTAAACACGCAACTTTTACGCTAATTATCGCGGGTGATACATTCGCTGGGTATTACAAACGATCGGATAATTATCGAGTAACTCATGGAAATTTATGCAAAGATGCGATCAATTATTTTCACGGCAATTAATCGGAATTGACGGCACTCTTCCAACATGCTCTTGATTTTTATCTTACAAAGCTTTAATTTCACGTTAGATTAATCTCTTCAGACCTGACTGCTTTCTGTTCAAATATTGTTAAAAAAAATAATAAAAATTACATTTAAAAAAGAAGCATAATTGTATAATAAATCGCGCATTTTATTCAAATTTGAAGACAATTGGTTTACCTTTTAGAGAAGCTTTTAAAGAAGCATTAATAACTAGTTTGAAAAATGTAATTTTGGAAAAAAAATTGTTTGAAATTTTTAAAACTCTAAAAATATATTTGAATTTTCAGATAGTAAAAAAAAAAATTATATTTAATCTATTATGGGTGTTTACAGAAAAAGGGCTACGATAAATCAATGTCGTTCGGTTTAAATGGCTGTCGCGGATATCGAGTGATTTTGACTGATCGTTTAAATGTATCTGAAAAATACGTTTGCGATGTACGCTGGACAAGAGGAGGCGGATTCAATGATTCAAGGCAGCGAAGCGCAGTGCGGCGGTAACGGTGTCGTGCAGATGGTAACGCGCGAGTAGAGCATCCGCGAGCAGTCGCGGGTGATGGACCGTAACGTTCTCACAGATAACTCACGGCTTCCGATGACGTTCATTCGCGTTCTGGTTATGTCAAGTTATCCTAGGATCACTCGGCACGGAACAATACCCTCCTGCATCTCGAAAGGAGAAATCGGCATTTCATTAGAAAGCACCCGACCTTTAAATTTATAACGACGCATTTTATATTTATAATAATATTAATATTCTTAAGAGCATTGCTCTCTGAGAAAATGTACACAATTATTTTTTTTATTGTGCAATATACATTAAAAAAAAATATATCGATATTAAAAAAGATTTTGATATAATTCTTATATAATTTAATTAATATTATAATGTATGATGACGCGCAATTTTTTATAATAAAAATTAGAATAATGACAGGAATACAGTATTGTTATATCATTTATTATATTTTAGATGTATATGAAAATATACAGAATAATTGATGAACATTTTTTTTTTTTAAGTAAACCTTTATCAAGATAGAACTACCTAAACAATTTTGTGTAACGCTTTAAATTAAAATATTGTTTCTAATAAGAAATGTTTTATCAAAATGTGCACAATTATTTATCGTTGAAAGCATTGTCACAATCTTCTTTATCGACTTGCGGCACAGATTGAAAATTCTACATCAAAGATCGATAAATCTCTCGCTCCTTATCATGTATATATATTTTGCAAATATTGCAAAGATATATAAATTTTATTACAAAATTATTCATATCGGTATTTTAGTATTCAATTCTCGTTCGCTTAACATAAAATGTAAAGTAGAAAGAAAATCTGAAGAAAGTAAAGCACAATGCAGTCATATTTTTTATTAAGTTAAAGTAAAATTAACAAATATAACATCGAGAGAGTCTCATCCGAATTGTCTTACAATGCTATCATATACAATATAAATATGCTCCTCGAATGAGAGGATCAGAGACAGATATATACAAGTTACACCGACTACTATGACATTTAACTGCGATGTCTGTAATATTCTGTAAAGGAATATACAAAGTCAAGATAGCACTAAAAAAATGGAAAGACTCATCGTTGTTACAAGAGATGTACAATAACATGATCGAGTTATTCATGCGGATGCAAAGTGAGAAGATCCAAATATTATATTGTACAAAATTGTATAGGTGGCACACAAATTTCTTATCTCTACATACTTTTGTACATACTTTTTACATTTAACATTCGCCAACGCGCCATTAGAGATGCTACATGGCACGGCATTGTACGGTTAATGACACATGATCGGTTGACAAATATATCAATTTCCTGTCGTCGAGGCTTTCGTTATCGTGTCGATGAACGAATTAAGCGCGCTTTATTCACGAGGAAGAGGTCCTCCCGCGAAAGACTTGCGTTCGAATTTTCCAGAAAAAATTGGACAACGCAAAAACTTTCAGATTATTATCGATAACACTATCGATACGACGATGTAATATATGTAACAATTAATTTATTATAAAATAATTATTAATTTAATAATTATTTTATAATTGGCTAATGGATTTTTCAAAAATGCGGTGTAACCGTGATGCCATTTTTTATAAAAAAAATTAATAATTAATGTAATTCAACTACGGATACTCTAATGTCGCGCGTGGCAAATATCCGGATCGACACCGCCGATATATTGTTGAACGGAGGTACATGAGGATTCTACGATCCTCTCTTAGATATCGTAGGTCATTTTATCGAAGTTGTAGGTGGGTATGCAGTAACCGCTGTAGGTCTTGATTTCCAAGACACCGGCGTAGGATCTCGCCGGTGAGGAGCCAGGATCCGTGTGTCGTCGCGGGCATCGGTATCCTCGGGGACACTGGCAGAGTGGCGAGGCGTTCACCTCCTCGAGTTGCGAATTACGTCTCTTACGCACGGTGAACAGGCGACACGGCTCTTTATGCTGGCATCGTATTCTCTAAATCGAGACAAAGAATTTTGCTTTTAGGAGCAAATTAATTTCGGCAAATAAATTAATTATTAAATTAATTTAAATTAATATCGTTATACTAATATAATTAATATAACGATATTAATTTAAATTAATTTAATAATTAATTTACTTGCCGAAATTAATTTGCTTATATTAATTGCTTATATTAATATAATTAATATAACGATATTAATTTAAATTAATATAACTTAATAAATATAAATTAATATAAATTAATATAATTAATATAATATAATTTAAATTAATTTAATTTAAATTAATGTCGTTACAATAATTATTGTAGGTCGAGAGAAACATGCTTCTTCTCTTTTTTGGACTTGAATAAAATTTTAGAAATTGTTTTTTTCTTCTTTCTTATTTTTGCCGCGATATCTCATATCGATTATCGTCTATCGCTGACTTACGCTTTGCGGAGAGCAAGCGAAGGCGTAGATAAAGCCTTGATTTCCATCCGGTGATCTATGAGGTAGCCTACGAACTAGGTACGGCACGCTACTTGGCCGACATCGACAGTGAACTCGTTGTACAGTCGCGTTTGCTGGACCTCCTCCGGGTGCCAGGGTCCACGTAATGTCTCTGCGATTTAAAAAATCAAAATATTTCCATTGCGAACATCTATATAGTAGTGACTCGAAAAAAAATGTATTCGCAAACGTTTTTAAATAGAAATTACCTCAATATGAAAGATTCTAAATCATTCTAACAATAAGATCATTTACTTTTTTTCAAATTGTAAGAAAAGTAAATTTATTTTATTATATAAATTTATTAAAGCTTTTAAAGAATCAATTCTTAATAAAGAAAAATATTTAGAAAAGATGTCGACTCGAACAACAATACGGATAACGATCGAGGAGATACGTGACGTGGTCGAACTAACTTGAAATAACGACAGATAGGAAGTCGTTTCACGGGTTCACAGAGCTTGTAGCGGCGCGTTTTATCGATGATCGTGTGTCCGTCGTCCCCGTGAAGACTGCTGGGGCAAGCACGGCCGTTCGGACAACGACATTGTCTCTCGACCCACGGTGCACCATATAAATCCACCTTGCTGCATACCTCGCTCCGGTCCGCGCACTCTGGCAATTCCTTCTCGCTATCCTGCGCAAACAAGCAGATACTCCCGTCATGAATTAAGCGATTGATCGGGGCGATAATCGGCGGAAAGAAATTCGCGGAAAGTTGTCGAATCGGTAGAAATACAAGTCGAATCGGGACTCGGATTTTTCGTCCCGATTCGACTTGTATCTCATCAGGATCGGTCGCGAGGGAACGCGTCTCGTGATGACAACGAAATTATGATTAGCGGGGCGATTAAGCTCGCAGTGATTGTACCGTTGCGTAATAATAAGAGGTTGAACGTGTGTCGCGCTATGGGACACGGCTAATGAAATAAACGAGACGATTGCACAGACTCGTAACTAAAGTATATCCGCTCTTTCCTGCGCCGGCGATACAAAGTCTGCTGTAACTGGACTATTTAGATGTTGCCAGTCCATTCATTGAGGCAATCGCGTACGTCCTGTCCGGCCTATCGTCATCGACGACATCAACTACCGTAAGGCGAGGTATCTGTGTCGAAGTACGCTCGTGAAATTTTTCGCAGACTCGATCTCGGCGATCTCTGCATTCGACGTTGGGACCGATGGAAACGCGCTTATACGCAAAGAGACCATTAGAAACACTGACAATTTTATTTACACCCTATTAAATTTGTAGATTGATCGATCTTCCAGGTCCTTCCACGGGTTCCAGGATTTGTTACGGTTTTATTAGAGGGGAGGAAAAAAGTTGGTCGCGAGAAGTCACGCGCATTTTCTGTTAACGCGATACACTTATCGAGGTGTACGATAGTGCGTGAGCAGAAGTAGTTAAGCAACGTGCCATTCAACGAAGAAAAGGTTCGAGGAAATGGCCTTCCGCCGTTTTACCATCGACTGTGAGCATTCGACTTTTTGCCACGATCATCCTCCGTTCATCTCGTTTGTCTTTTTGTAAGGCTTCTACTACTTTACTATCGTCACTACTATTACTACGATCGCCTCCGTCACGATACAACGGATCGCACGAGCAGCTTTTTACGAGGAAAATCCTCCTTGATCTCGTTCTCTTGGATATCCGTTCGCGCTAAAGTCTAGCCTACATCTGCAAATATCGTAAAATTACGCGATGGCTGAATAATTTTCCATTTGCTCCAGAGATATTCCTTCGCCAATTTTTTTTCAATTTTTTACGATATTTTATCTAATAAATTTGCAGAAGGAAATATTTTTTTTTTTATTTTATTTGCTAATTTTTATTTTTTTTAAACGTGCTAAATTTTTAACATATAAAATATGCTTTAATTATTAGATATAAATGATGAATTTAGTTGGACTCGAAGCGTCTATTTTTTGAAATCGTCTATTCAATCCGTCGAAACGCAGATAAATTTCAACTTTCGAAAGAGATAAACTTTCTTTTAGAATATTTTGAAAGCACGCTTATATATAAGGTGTTCCTAAATTCGCGATAAATATTTTAATGACAAATTTTTGGTAACATTTTAAGACGAAAAGTCTAATAGGAACATGTCGAGGCTATAATAGTTTTTCAAATGGGAAAAGTTTAAAAATCACTGATGACGAGCTAAAATTTCGCGCGTTCAGGGGTGACAAAGTGACTAATGGTAAAGGTGCTTCCATGTATCGAATTTTGATACTGGTGAAATTATTGTGAAAATATTCAATTTCATAGCCTCATTTTTTTTATAACAACCTTGACATTTTCGTCTTAAAATGTTGTACAAAAAATGTTGTACTTAAAATGTACAAAAAATTTGTCATTAAAATATTTATCGCGAATTTAGGAACACTCTGTATAATCCATCCGACCAAGCTCGCTCCGATTTCAAGCCAGCTTCCGATCGTTAATCGTATTTCCCATACGATTTATTTTCTATGCATCTCTTTATCCTATTTCCGTCGGTCCCAAGAGCGAAAGAAAAGGCGAGCGTAACGAAAGGCGAAGGAAGTTTTTGAAGCTGATATAGCGGAACGGCGGGGATTCACGCATACACAGCGGTGGTAAACTAAAATGGGATAATAGAAGGACCGGAAGGGCGCCGTAAACCATCCGGAAGTTCTCACGCGTCTCTCGCTTCTCGCACGGCCGCAATGAAAATGACACCTGGCACTCGGGATGGACATACCACACGAAGGCAAAGGAGGAGAAGGAGACGGAGGTGGAGGAAGAGCAGGAGGAGGTGGCCGCTAGAGGTACCCGTTCGAGGACGGCCGAGAGAAGAAGGGCGCGCGAGAGACGAGGTGGAAGCTACGGGACAAAAAAGAAAGAAGAAAAGAGAGGCAGGAGACGCACGACGACGCAGGGAATCTGGTCGAATGGATGGATGACGTTGGTAAAAAGATCGCTCCTTCATCGTACCGTACAGCTATACCGGATGTTTCTAAGAGAGCTCGGAAATCTCGCGCCGATCCGAGGTATAATGGAACTGGGTGCTCGATAGAGAGAGCAGAGAGAGATTGGAGCAGGTCATACATATGATCGAAAAGCAAATTTTTGGAAGCAAAGATAAATTTAAAATACATATTAAAATTTTTTTGCAGGAGGTTTTGTTTTTTTTTTTTGTAAGCTTAAATGATTTTATTTTCGCATAAGAAATTTTTTTTTGTTAAATTCATTATGATTCTCCTCTGTATGATTTACTTATGAGCGACAGAGAGAGATTGGAGCAGGTCATACATATGATCGAAAAGCAAATTTTTGGAAGCAAAGATAAATTTAAAATACATATTAAAATTTTTTTGCAGGAGGTTTTGTTTTTTTTTTTTTTTTTGTAAGCTTAAATGATTTTATTTTCGCATAAGAAATTTTTTTTTGTTAAATTCATTATGATTCTCCTCTGTATGATTTACTTATGAGCGATAGAGAGAGATTGAAGCAAGTCATACATATGATCGAAAAGCAAATTTTTGAAAGCAAAGATAAATTTAAAATACAGATTAAAATTTTTTTGCAGGAGGTTTTGTTTTTTTGTAAGCTTAAATGATTTTATTTTTTGCATAAGGAATTTTTTTTGTTAAATTCATTATGATTCTTCTGTGTATGTGATTTATTATGAGCGAAGCAATCTACGAGGAAGGGCTACTCTCCGGTTAAATTGCTTTCTAATTTATCCGGCTAAATTAACACGTAGACGTATAATTGTCGAGAAGAAAGAGAAAGGAGCGACGAACATAGGGAATACAATTAAAGAGGCGAAAAATATCGAAGAGAGCGAACACGCCAGGCGATTTCAACAAACCGGCGCGAGGTTTTGTCCGATATAAAGAGAGTACACAGTTTTTTTTTTCTCCTCTAAATGTACACACGCACACGTACACGTACATATACATATCCACGTATCTCGTCATCTCCGCCATATCATTCCTGCGCACGTACTCTCGGCCCACGTGCGAACGTACGTATCTACGATATGTCGTACTTGGGTTATGCGCTTATCCCCGCACGTGTAAACCTACGTACCCCGTACATGCGATACATACACGCACGTACGGACCGATACGTAGGTGTTTACAGCTACGACAGCAACAGGTTCGAGCATCGAGTGGGCGCCGCTCTTTGCTAACGGCTACGTTTTCCCTCTCCCCGCGATACTTCCTGCGCGCCTGTAAGCGGACGATTTAGCTTCAAATCCTCGGAATGCTACCCGAGAGAATATATCAACTCGCATATGTACGTTGCTACGGACACATGTTGTTAAACTTTCTGAAACCGCCGATGCCGAGGAATAAGCGGGCCACGTGTGTCCGAGAGAAAAAAATTCAGGCTCGACGGCAATTCGATCGGATTTCAAGAATAACGAAAAGACGCGAAACAAGAAACGTGAAATATATATTTTTGCCGCGACGTGTGTTTTGCCGGCGATGCAATCGCGCGACTCATTAATATTTAATCGCGTTGTACGCGGTAATTTATTCGGAGAACTTGACGAATAGTAATGCGGTTCTAACAGAGTAAAATAGGAGACTCGAGGAGACGCTAACGTATCTGATATAAGAATCTAATGTATGTTTTTTCAACGAAAAAATATTAAAAGAAGCAGAATATGAAAAAGTAGCGGGACATCAAATATAAATCGCAGGCACACATATCGATCAGATGTCCTTCAAATTAGCTGATAATATATATTTCAATCTTATTCAGAGATGAATTATTAATTATATAATTTTTTGGAAGGAAATTAGGAATTTTGAAAAAAAAAGAAGTAAGTGTTGGGTAATTTATTCGGAAAACTTGAATAGTAATGCGGTTCTAACAGAATAAAATAGGAGACTCGAGGAGACGCTAACGTATCTGATATAAGAATCTAATGTATGTTTTTTCAACGAAAAAATATTAAAAGAAGCAGAATATGAAAAAGTAGCGGGACATCAAATATAAATCGCAGGCACACATATCGATCAGATGTCCTTCAAATTAGCTGATAATATATATTTCAATCTTATTCAGAGATGAATTATTAATTATATAATTTTTTGGAAGGAAATTAGGAATTTTGAAAAAAAAAGAAGTAAGTGTTGGGTAATTTATTCGGAAAACTTGAATAGTAATGCGGTTCTAACAGAATAAAATAGGAGACTCGAGGAGACGCTAACGTATCTGATATAAGAATCTAATGTATGTTTTTTAAACGAAAAAATATTAAAAGAAGCAGAATATGAAAAAGTAGCGGGACATCAAATATAAATCGCAGGCACACATATCGATCAGATGTCCTTCAAATTAGCTGATAATATATATTTCAAACTTATCCAGAGATGAATTATTAATTATATAATTTTTTGGAAGGAAATTGGGAATTTCGAAAGAAAAAGAAGTAAGTGTTGGGTAATTTATTCGAAAAACTTGAATAGTAATGTGATTCTAACAGAATAAAATAGGAGACTCGAGGAGACGCTAACGTATTTAATATAAGAATCTAATGTATGTTTTTTTTCAACGAAAAAATATTACAAGAAGCAGAATATGAAAAAAAGTAGAAGGGCATCAAATATAAATCGCAGAAACATATCGATCAGATATTCTTCAAATTGGCTGATAATATATATTTCAAACTTATCTAGAGATGAATCATTAATTATATAATTTTTTGGAAGGAAATTGGGGATTTTGAAAAAAAAAGAAGTGTTGATTTATTCGGAGAACTTGACGAGTAGTAATGCAGTTCTAACAGAGTAAAATAGGAAACTCGAGGAGACGTTAACGTGTTTGATATAAAAATCGCATACAATATAAACAAATAGCAAGACATTAAATATAAATCGCAGGCACACATATCGATCAGATATCCTTCAAATTGGATGATAACATATATTTCAAACTTATCTAGAGATGAATCATTAATTATATAATTTTTTGGGAGGAAATTGAGAATTTTTTTTTTAAAAGATGAAGTAAGTGTTGGTATCTATAAGAGGCTTACCCCCACTTGGTAGAGCACCCTGGGTTCGTCATACATCAGCCTGTGCTTTCTATTACGATTGATGAGGTCGATCTCGAGCGTCGTGTCGTCGAATTCTTGCAATTGGAAGTACTTGTTATCGTCGAAGACTAAATACTCGTTTAGATAGTCGTCGTTTTCGGTCATCTGAAACTCGCATTTGCATTTGCGGACGACGCCGATGATCGCCAGCAGGATGTACAGCAGGTGCCGTATCGCTTTGTTAGTCATCTTGTCTCGCCCTGAGATGAGCCAAATTCGTCCCGGTAAAAACAAATCTCGGCGATCGTTCGTTCGCGTTCTTCTTTCGTCCGGAAGAAAGTTGATTGTTTTGTTACCCGCGATTGGAAAACAGGAGACGCGATAAAGACAAGGACTCCCGATGTGTTTTTATTTACGTAATGACGCGCTAAAGGAAAACAAGTTCGAGAGAATGCTCATAATAAAAATATTCGCGGATCAATTATACGAGTATAATTAATCTCGTATATTGAGAAAGCTAAGCGTCGATAATTTCAAGTCCATTTTCGCGATTTTCACGTGAATCTTTACAAATCGGTCATCGAAGAGTTCTCCCTCCGATGCTGCTAAATCACTTACTTGGGCGATTCCACGATCGAGGAATATTAAAAAAATACGAGAGGATCTTTGCAATTACGAAGAGTCGCACGCGCGATTGGAATCTTCTCTCTCGAGTCTTTGACGCAGGCTTCCTTCTCCGGGGTTACGATCCTCACGATCTCTCTTCCCTCCTGACGAGAACAACAACGTCACGTGTCTCTGTTGATGGCGATTTGAAATGCTCTCTTATCTTCCTCTGGCGCTCCAGCAACGTTCGATTTCTAGAAACATGAAGGAGTTGGCGGTGGCCCGATCTCCCTAGGGTCGATAGAGCGTATCGCGCACTCTCACTAAATTTCCCGATCGTTGCCCGAAATGATCGATCGTATCCGTCGATCGATCGATGTCGACGATCGTCCAAGCGGGACTCCTTCTCGCGGGGTTCTTACGTGTCCTCTCGGGAGAGAAACGAGTAAAACGATCGGCGAGGTCGAGTGAAACGGAACGTCGGACAAGATCGACCTATGCGCGAAGGTATGCCGTCCGCTCGACTGGACTCTTAAAAGCCAGAAGTAAAGCATGAATGGACCCCCACCTCTCTTCCTTTGCCCTTCTCCCTCTCCTCCCTCCTCCTCTTCTCATTCTTGACTGCCTCTTTCCCCCCTCTCTTCCCCTCCTCTCCCCCCGTTCTTTCTCTTGCTCTTACGTCATCCCCACTGCTACTCTCTATCCGGGGGCCTCTCTATCTCTCCTCTCCGAACGTTTTCATCGTCGCCGTTTTCTCGGGACGTGTCGTCGTCGCCGCGTTTGTCCTTGTATCGCATCCTCTCTTCCACGGCGCTCCCCGGGAACGTATCGACGAGCGTTTTACTTTTTCTCCGGAGCCGACCCGTTTGCATTCGCGCGCGCGCGCGCTCCGTTTTGCCGCAATTTACTACGCTCCGCGTAGCTTTTTGTGCATCGGTGCCCGTACGCCGTCTTTCCTCTTCCCTCGCGAGCCAGTTTTTCATCAATGATTCGAATCCCTCCCCTTTCGTTTCCTCTTTGCGCGCCTGCCGAACTTTATCTTCAAATCCGCTCCCCTCTCGCGCTTCCGAACATTTCTTATCTCGCATCTGTATTGCACAGAAAAACATTCTTGTTTTGTAAATATATTTAGTTTTGATATGGAAATCTTGAAATGAGATTATATTGCGTCAATTAAAGAAAAATATAATTGCTTGAATAATTGTTTACATTTTATACAGTTCAATCGAGAAAAACGTGTTCTTTTGATTTAAGGTTTAATTTTTTTGAATGGAAGAGAAACAATGTTGGATAAAAAATAACATTTTTAAACCAAAGATTATCATTTTCTTAAAGTAGAATTAAATAATTATATATTCTTGAGATGACAATTACAATATTAAAATAAGACTATAATATTGTTGAAATTTAAAATTATTAAATTCCTCTAGGAAGAATTCCTCCTAAGAAGATTATAAATTGTCGCGTATATAGGAAACAATGAACGCGTTAGTTTATGTGTATAAGTTTTGATTTGACACTTATTTTTTTCTGTGCACAGAAAAAAAGGACATTTTTGTTTTGAAAATATATTTAGTTTTAATATGGAAATCTTGAAATGAGATTATATTGCGTTAAGAAAAATATAATTGCTTGAATAATTGTTTACATTTTATACAGTTTATTCGAGAAAAATGTATTCTTATAATTTAAGATTTAATATTCTTGAATGGAAAAGAAACAATATTGCATAGAAAATAACATTTTTAAACCAAAGATTATCATTTTCTTAAAGTAGAATTAAATAATTATATATTCTTGAGATGACAATTACAATATTAAAATAAGACACTATAATATTGTTGAAATTTAAAATTATTAAATTCCTCTAAGAAGATTATAAATTGTCGCGTATATATATACAAAATAATGAACGCGTTAGTTGAAGTATACAAGTTTTGATTTGACACTTACTTTTTTTTCTGTGTATCTTGAATATCTTTTCGATACAATAAACAATTAATTCCAGAAGCAAACTGTATCGAATATATCGAACATGAATATTTTAATACGTATTTCGTCATTGTACATTTCGATACATTTCTATCTAGACTATTTCTTTCGAGACTCTTGTACAGTTATTCGTGATCTCTTGTGTACCGCATTCTTGAGATGGGGCTAAACGAAATATCTTGTTGTAACAGCGATAATGAGATAAGTTTTCCGCTCGGAGATATTTATCGTTATTTGAGGAAAAGATACCATACAAACGAGGAATGCTATAAAGAAATATTGAAACGGTATCCTCAATATTAGAGGCAAATATAAAGAGTTTATTATTCATTCGTTTCGAGAGATCAAAGATAAACATTTCTTCTTCTCGTTGCAGGAAAATTGTACGCCGTATTCGGCAAGAGGCAAGGTCGCATCGTATCTACGGAAAGCGCTTATGGCTTCGGCGGACAATTCAGAGTTTTGGCCACCCTACCGGTTCTGGAGAGTTTCCACCTTGCGAGAGAACTGCGGACGCAAACGTCTGGATTGGCCAGTCCGCAACTAGTTTTTAGTCATTGGGAGGTACATAAAAGCCGCCCGGTGTATCTTTTGTATCTACCGCGTCTCATCTTATTACGCAGTAAAATGTTCCTGAGAGAAAAAAAAAACAGAAAAATTCCAGCAACGTCTTTTTTCAAATATTTTTCCACCTTTAATCATTATTAAAATATAATTTAAAAAAGAGTAAGGTCGAAATTTTGAAAATTTCGAGTCTATGAAAATGTCAAAGAGAATGTATTTTTCCTATTTTTTTCTTATCCCACAGAATTGTTAATTTATATTAATATTCATATTAATTATATTAAATATACATTAATATTAATATTATATTATATTATATTATTTGTTTCTATAATCAGATTATTGAGCAAGATCCTTACTGGGTGCCGTCTACGGAGGAAGAGTATCTTCATTTCGGTGAAAAAGCGGACAGCGATAATCGAGCTAAATGTTACATGGATGCGGTTCGCCGAAGAAAAGGCTTGCCTGTAGACTCCCAGCTAGTTGCACACGCCGAGAAACAACGCACTCTTTCGAAAAATAAGTGATGTGAAATTCCTTTGCGCGATTATTACGTTCGGAAAGCGCATTTACTCCAAGTTTCGTCCTTCCTGCTCGTAGACTCGATTATCTCATGTCTATTAAATTTTCTATCTACGAAGGTGTGTAATTAAAGCGCGAGGTACATACATGAACAAAAAAAAAGTTCAAAAAAAAAAGTTGTTTCTTTTGTTTCATCAAACATTGTAGATTAAATATTAATTGAACAATGTTTAATTTTAATTGAAGAAAATTAAATATTAAACGTCTCCTCTATTTGATCTTAAATTTTTATTCACCTTTACTTGTTCATTTCGACTAAACATTATTTCCGTAAATACGTTATTACATAATATGTCTATAACATATTTTGCATAAAGTAGAATACATGAGTGAAAATATATAAGCTTACATAACTGTATCTTGTGTGTATAACAAACATTACAGGTTATTTATAAATTAAAAAAATACCATATTATCACATAAAACGTTTGCATAAGTTACATCAAATAAATGTACATATGTATACATTTGTGTTAAAATAATGACAGACATATATTTGCAATGTATTCTTTATACAAAGTTCTTGATCAATTTACAAGTTTTTTGTTATTATAATTTTACAGAACTGTTACTATTATAAATTATTAAACATGTTAATCTCTAATCATCAGCAAATACAATCTTTTTTCCTTGAAATTTTTGGCTCATGATTTTCTGTTCTTTTCTTTTAGCCAACCAAGAGGGATGCAAATCACTATCTTCTTTGTTATTAACATTATTTGAATTATTCTTATTTATATCCTTATTAATTTTGATAGATGTTTTATTATTTAATCGTTTAACAGATTTATTAGATTGTTTATCCTGATATCTTTTATTTAAATTTGTATTATTTTTGTAGTTTATGTTTTGCTTTTCAACTCTGTTACTTGACTGGAATGTTCGTGTATTATATTTGTGAGATCTTACATATGATGTCGAGGCACTAACACTACTTGTTTGTGAATCTTGATTGTCTCCTGTAATGAAAAAATCATCCGATATTTTTGCTTGTTGAGTTGTAGAATCTGGAACTTTGATAGACATCTCCACATTTTTGTTAGATTCTTGCTCCTCCAAGAGTTCGGTAAATCTCTTTACAGTAGCTTCTTTTGTAACGTTACATGATTTAATTACACTTGATTGCTTATGTATAACTGTATCCTCCAATGTATCATCTTCTAACCTTGACACTTTTTCCTCTTTCAGAGGTGCGCTATCTTCATTTGATGATTTTTTACATTCGTGCAAATTATTTGTTGTTTCGAGTAATTCAGTGTTGCACATTTTCTCATTTTTAGATTTATGTTGAGAGTGTTCAATATTTTTACAAGAATTAATTTCTTGTTCCTCTGAACTTTCATTCTGAGGTTGAGGATTTTCTTTTAAGGATTTTTTAGTGACACTTTTATTCTTCAACTTGACATTTTTCTTCTTTCCTTCTACCAAATATTTTTTGCAGTCTGGGAACTTTTCTTTAAATTGCATCAGTCTTTTGTACAAAATTTTGTAATATGCAACCCTTGCTTTTACACGATCATAATGACTTGAAGACTCATCTTGTAATATTGCAGTCAAATCTCTTTCATTTGTGATACCAAACTTGGAAATCTCATCGTCTTTAATTCTTTTTAGTGCGTAAACTTCAGCAATAAGTTTATCAGCCTTTCTCTTATACTTTTCTTGTTGTACTTCATTTCCATGTTTGTTTCGAAGGAGTTTAGCTTCTTTGATAAGCTTATTCACCACGCAAACTCGTGCTTGACGAACCGTATGTCGGAGCAGAATAATCTAAAAATTACAAGTTATATTAAATTAAATTATGAAATGAACATATTAAATTATGAAATAAATAACATCTCTCTAGTAATAACAATTGTAAACAAATCATTTGTATCTTATTCAAATCATGCATACATCTCACCTCGTTATTTATTTCAATTTTTGCCATTTTGTGTTAAAAATAATTTCCCACAGCAAAAATCACTTTATTTAGCTTTGGAATAAATATGTAAATAAATAACCCTCTTCAGACGAATAACTTTCTTTTTGCCTAAAAAAAGCGCTATTCTCAAGAAATCAGCAAGAAAATCTAGAAAATTTCGCCATAAACTATATAGATCATACAAAACTTCGCCATAAACTATATAGATTTTCTACTTGCGACTACTCAAGTTGCGACCATAGTGTTCCATAGAGTTCTTTCACTGAACCAATCAGAAAGTCCTGTATTGATTTGGTCGGAAAAAATAATGTCTCTAGAAGATTTCATGCTTATTGGTCCACATGGTCTTATGTTATGCATATGTAGCTATGCAATTAATATTAAATTTTTAAATATAATGTAATATTTAAATATTATAAATATTTATATGTATATTTAATTAATTTACACTATGGCCGGTATTCATAGTCCGATCTTATATTTAAGATCATCTTAAGTCTGGTCCGAGGTTGACTTAAGACCTCTTTCAACCAATCAAATAGCTGCGTAGCATTTCAAGCTCGAACTTAAGACGATCTCAAATATAAGATCGGACTATGAATACCGGCCTATGTAATTTTGTGTGTAATGGCCTTTATAAATTGTAGACGTAGCACGGACATGAACTAATCGACTGTTTTATCATTGCATCGAAAAGTCAAGGTGGCCATGTAGTTCCAGTGGCGTAAAATGGATGATATACGCCGCTAGTGTACGACTAGTGTCCCTAGAAAATCTATCTTCTAGGGACATTAGTAGACGTAGTAAAAACGTTCCACGAAAAATAACAACCTTTTTCACGTGCATGTGCAAACACTGCAAACGAGCCTTTACGTTATCGTTCTTCATGGATATGACTCAATAGTGACAGGACGTATAGCTACAATGCTGGATGACTGTTGATTTACGAAAGCCAAGCCGCGAGTATTCTGTAATCGTAAAGTAATTTTGCAACTAATATTGCTTTATTATTATCTTAACGATTAAAAGAAACGGCTTATAAAAATGGTAAGTACTTAATTGATTTTCATTTTTAATGAATTTTATATCTATTTAATTATATCGCAAAAGAAAACTTATAGTTTTAATTATAAATCTTGACGTCTCAATTGTGTGTGGTTATGTATAAATTTTTATAAATAAGTAGAAATAACAATTAAAATCATGTAACTTTCTTTCTGTAATTCGTATTTTAATAATTAAAAAACGAAAGTATATATATGTATACTTTCTTTTATTATCTTCATTTTATTTCATTGACAAGTTGAATAAAATAATAGCTAAATATCAAGCAATAGAAGCAATAATAGCTAAATATCAGCTAAATGTAAAGTAAATATTCTTATGGTAAAAGAAAATAATATAAGTTACATTTGGAAACTACTGCCAGCATGTCGTTATTCTTGTTTGACATTTGATGAACAAGAATGATGATTTGCTAGCATATTGTCATGAATTCTGGACAATTATAATATAATATTCAACTTGTCAACTTGTGGAATTATCAGTCAACTTGTGGAATTATCAAAATCTATAAATTTATTAATATTCTAAATTGTATTTTTAGTTCCGCAATCAGTACGATAGTGATGTAACAGTATGGAGTCCACAAGGACGTCTGCATCAAGTAGAATATGCTATGGAAGCTGTAAAATTAGGCTCAGCCACTGTAGGCCTGAAAAATAAAACACATGCTGTTCTGATTGCATTGAAGAGAGCATCTTCGGAACTATCGGCTCACCAGAAAAAGATCATACCAATAGACAAGCATATGGGAATCAGTATCTCAGGTTTAACTGCTGATGCAAGAATATTGAGGTACTATCTTATTACTGTTTAGTTTGTTTAGTCTAATTTTTGTCAAATCTTTTTATTATATGAAGCATATAATAAAAAATTCACTTTTTTTATATTTTCTTTGATATTACTTTATCATTTATATATGTCCCAACTTATAAATTATTATTACTTATAGTCGTTATATGCGAACCGAATGCTTGAACTATAAGTACGCTCATGATGATACATTACCCGTGAGCCGTTTGATCACGTCCTTGGGAAATAAAATGCAGACATGTACACAGAGATATGATAGACGTCCGTATGGTGTTGGTTTACTCGTGGGAGGATATGATGTGAGGATTTATTGAAAAATCGTATTAGAGCAGTTTACACATCATACAAATACTTTTCTATGATAATTGTCCTTATAGGATCAAGGCCCGCATATATATCAGACATGTCCATCGGCGAATTTTTTCGATTGTAAAGCAATGGCTATAGGATCTCGTTCTCAAAGTGCGAGAACATACTTGGAGAAACATTTGAGTGAATTTTTATCGTGCGATCTCGATGAATTGGTAAAACATGGCCTTAGAGCGTTACGCGATACTTTACCTAATGAAGTTGATCTGTCAGTGAAGGTAAATTTCTCGCTTAGTTTCTAATTGTAATTCTTTTAATATTTAATCGCAAAACTTGCAATTGTAAATGCAAGTTGCAACTTATGATAGGCAATTTCAATTTTGTCAAAAAATGTTAAACTTTTTTTTTACACATGTCAAGTCTTGATAATTATGTTTCAGAATGTTTCAATTGGGATAGTAGGAAAAGATTATAATTTCACGATTCTTGACGAGGCCACAACAGCCACCTATTTATCTCAGATCGAAGGAGATGACAAACGCGGAAGACCTGCAGAGCAGGTTGCACAGGATGATAGACCTCCACAAGATCCGCCTGCCGACGAAGGACCGCAAGATCCTCAAGTAGCCATTGCTATGGATACAGATTAAACAATAATATAAAAATTAAAATAAAATCATATATAAAAAGTTTATCCTATACAATTTATATATAAAGATTAAAGCACATTTTATGCTTAAATATTTGTTTTGTAACTATAATTAATTTGATAGAATATTTATTACCAGTCTGTTTACACAGTTTGAAAATGTTTTAGATATATTTATAACTAAATTACAATCAGGTACAATTTTTTTTACGATGTAGCTTTGGATTCTGTCCTGAATTAACATTCTGACAAATATGAATATACTAACTAGTATTATATCCTTTGTATGTACACAGAATTTGTCTCTAATTCATTCTCTACATGGATAATATTTATAATACAAGCATAATTAATAATAAATTAATTAATTTAGTATACTTACAATTAATCGTAAATTTTATAAATTTGAAATATGTTCATACCATTCGATAATTGATCGTTAAACAATTGCAAGAAAAAAAAATGAGAAAATTTACTAAATTAGATAATAATCCAAAGCTATATACATATTTATTTATCAGAATATTGCACAATCGCACATGATTGAAATAGAATTTTATATATATATAAAATTCAATTTTCTTTATACTATTGTACTCACGATATTTTTTATTTTTTTCATTACGCAGTATGGTCATCAATTTGTTGCTTTTTACGTTGTTTCAATATATTTGTCAAGAAGTATTCTCCAGCTTTATACGATGACCGTACTAAGGGACCGCTAGCAGTATACAAGAAACCTAGTTGATTCCCTCTATTTTCCCATATTTTAAATTTCTCGGGCGTTACATATTCGATGACTTTTAAGTGTCTTTTAGTGGGCTGCATGTATTGTCCCAATGTTAGAGCATCCACACCAGCATCTCTTAGATCCTGCATTGTTTGTTCGACTTCTTCATCGGTCTCACTGAGACCCAACATTATCGATGATTTTGTGATTAAGTCGGGATTGAACTTTTTAGCCGCTTTTAATACGGCCAGTGACTGCCTGTACATAGTAAATGATAGATTTTATTTGAATTAATAAGCGCATATAATATTAATAAAAACAAGACAATATTAATACAGTTTGAGATTATACATTATATAATGATAAAATAATATTATGTATATTATTTATTATATTGTATGTAATGATAAATTACAATGAGTATACCTGTATTGAGCGCGTCTATCTCGAACAAAGGGTGTGAGACGCTCTACAGTTTCGATATTATGCGCGAACACATCTAGATTGGAATTTACAATTGTAGCGACGCAATTTTCATCCCCTCTGAAATCTGGTACCAGGCACTCTACTAGGATATTACTCCTATAAAGAATAATTTTACAATTAGATACCTAAGTACAATCTATTTTTCATTTTATACAAGCAAATATAAAAAGACAGGTAAAAATTACCTCTTCTTTATCTCCTTGACAGTGGATGCGATGTGACTGGCTCCACCATCCTTTAAATCTGAAATAATTGATATTGAATTATTATATTGAATCATCTATATAATGGTATAATTTACGCAGTCTAAGAATGATCTATATAATCAACTAACCATCACGATCTACAGATGTTAGAACAATATAATCCAAACCCCAATCTGCTATTGCGGTAGCAGTATTAATCGGTTCCTCTGCATCTAATGGTGGTGGTGTACGTGCAGTTTTAACAGAACAAAAACGACAGCCACGAGTGCACGTGTCTCCCATTAACTAAATAGCCAACCATAGTCATTTTAATGAGATTTCTTCATTTCATGCAGATTTAAGAGTTGTTTGATGCTATTTATATTGGAGTGATTAAATCAAGTATATCATTTTAGGATAATTGAAATTCTCTTGAGACTTTTCAAAAATTCTATAAAAATTAAATATTTCTTATACAGATGGTAGATTTCTTACCATGATGGTAGCAGTTGCTGTGCCATGAGTACCCCCGCCCCAACATTCTCCAATATTTGGGCATCTGGCTTCTTCGCAGACTGTGCTCAGCCGTAATTGTCTTAACTGTGCTTTTATCTTACTGTAACTTTTGCCTATAGGTATTTCTGTTTTCAGCCATGGTGGTAATCTCAGTCGTCCTGATTCGCCTTTTTCCAATTTTAACTTTCCATCGTATTCTTCAACAGTATCTTTTAAAAAGTCCTCGAATTGTGGACCATCTTTCAGCTTTTTTGAAAATGATTTATTACTTTCAGTTGAAGCTCTCGCACACTGTAATGAGAAATTTTCATATATTAAATGTAAGCTATTACATAATTTTATATTGTGATGAATTTAATAAAATTTTTAAAAATTATAGAAATATTAGCTCTAACATAATAGCTCTTTCATAAATAAAAACAAAAGGTTGAAATTTACATTTGTCAGATGAAAATGACAGCTGACAGGACACTTTGGATTTACGACGCCAAATATCCGTAACATCTTCGTTTGTAAATTTTGAAATAATTTGTCAGAGTTCAGGAATAATCAGTCCATATCCATGTATTTGGATACAACAGGTCATGATTTGACCCACTTGACTTAATTTTGATAACCTCGCTTCTTCAGAGCATTTAAAAATGGCCGCATTCAGCGGATTCGACAGTTGGGCAACATTACTAGATTTTCCGATGTAATTCGACACTGATTGGTCGGATCTGAAAGTAGAAACCAATCATGTTCGATTATTACTTAGCAGTGAGTCCGCTGAAGCGGCCAATGTACTCTTCGGAGTAATATTTAATCGACCAATAGGACAGAGCTTTGCTTCTGATTGGCCGATCAAATGATTATGATCATGACGGCTAGATTTTCGAACGTATCCTTCAAGTTGCTAAACGATAAACGTGCATATTCATCTAGCTCATTCGAGGGATTTATGACATAATCGGCCAGAGGGTGGGGGCAGGTGAGGGTGGTGCGTTTTGACTGCTGGAAGGCTCGCGGAGAGAGGTGCTGAGAGGTGCGACGCTGCGACGACGGAGTAAAATCCGTTTCGGCTAATTCGTCGTGTCGCGAGGACGAAAGCGCGGGGTGCGAACATCACGCGATCAGCTGAGTCTTCCGTCGTCGAGTTACCGAAATTGTCGCGCGACGACGTTCTTCCACGTTTCTGCCGACACGTGGAACGCGGGGCACCAGGAAAGCGCTGTGGTTACGCGGTGTCGCGACGATATCTCATCCGCGTGGAAATGCTCTAGCTGAAGAAGAGACCCCGCATCCATCGATATACGATGGAGTTTATGCCACTGCTCAAGTCTGTGCTAAGTGCTTGTCAGTGTCACGCTCGAGTTATTGTGTCATAAAATGGTAAGTATTCCATCGCACGTATGCGTATATCCTACACACACATATACATAAATACATATATATACACGGCACACACAGGGCCTTGAAAAATGATCTATGGAAAAATAATTTCTGAAAACGTATACAATCTATCCGATAGCTTTAATACTTAATTTTTATGCTTGTGTGAGTGCATTCCTGCAATTGTGCATTTTTCTGCGACCGATGTCACGATCAGTGTGGATATCATATATTATTTTTTATATCTTGATATAAAAATGGAGATGTGTCGAAATTAATGAATTACGTTAATGTGTGTGTGTGTTTCTATTTTTTATCATAAATTATCTATATCAGATTTTCTTCAACAAGCTGCATCATTGATATATATATATATATATATATATATATATATATATATATATTATATATAATATATATTATACATATATATATATATATCATAATTTTATATATTGTTATATTTTACAAAATTATATATATTTTATATTATTTCATTATTATATTTTTTATTTTTTTTGTATATATATTGTGTAAAAAATTATTTTAATAAAAAATTATCTAATTTATATAATTCTTTTAAATATTATAATAAATATTATAGATTAGAAATAAATAATATATTATCTTTATCTATAATTTTAGGGTGCAAATATATCACAATTAGAAAGAGATATTGGCTCTGATCAGTTTCCACCCAATGAACATTATTTTGGTTTAGTCAATGTAAGTATAACATCTTATCTGATGAAACTATATATATAATTAAAAACTTATAATATTTAATATAATAAAAATATATTCTTGTAGTTTGGTAATACTTGCTACAGTAACTCAGTGTTGCAAGCTTTATATTTTTGTCGGCCATTTAGAGAAAAAGTTTTAGAGTACAAGGCCAGAAATAAACGAACTAAAGAGACATTATTAACATGCCTAGCAGACCTATTTTACAGTATTGCAACACAAAAGAAAAAAGTAGGTTCTATAGCACCAAAAAAGTTTATCGCCAGATTGAGAAAAGAGAAAGGTCAGTGTTCAGCATTATTGTAGATAATAACTTTATATTTTATAGTATGTTGTTGTAACTCTAACATTTCTTTTCAGAGGAATTTGATAATTACATGCAACAAGATGCACACGAGTTTTTAAACTTTCTCATAAATCATATAAATGAAATTATCCTAGGTAAATATTTTTTTTGTGCATTTATAGTGCATCTTACTTACATCATACTTACTTATCATCTTGTGTATTAGCGGAGAGAACTCAAAACAAGCCGGCCGGAGGAAAATGTGGGGCAGGAGATGCTGCTGGTTCGCCACCGGAACCTACATGGGTTCACGAGATATTCCAAGGAATACTGACCTCGGAAACACGCTGCCTTAACTGTGAGACTGTTTCTAGCAAAGACGAGGACTTTTTTGATCTACAAGTTGATGTAGATCAAAACACTTCGATCACGCACTGCCTCCGATGTTTCTCCAATACAGAGACCCTGTGTAGTGACAACAAATTCAAATGTGATCATTGCAGTAGTTATCAGGAAGCTCAGGTATTAATCATACAGTATTCAATTCATTGTCACCTTTTGAACAAATTATTTATTGGAATATATTTGTTTTGAATTACAGAAACGAATGCGAGTGAAGAAACTACCTATGATCTTAGCATTACATCTAAAGAGATTTAAATATGTGGAACAGTATAATCGTCACATAAAAGTATCTCACAGGGTAGTTTTTCCATTGGAACTCAGACTTTTCAATACTGTAAGTCTTCTTGCTTTTTAAACTATCTCAAAACTTAAATCTCTCTTAGGAATATGATTATTGCATTAATACATACACGTGTGTGTATATATACATATATAACATTCATAAAGATGTTATCATTTATAAATACAAAAATTGTCAGATATTTTTTTAAAATAATGGTAATTATTTTATATATTAATTATTTTATGTCAACATGTAATTTTTTAATTACAGAGTGATGATGCTGTAAATCCAGATCGTTTGTATGATTTGGTGGCAGTTGTGATACATTGTGGAAGTGGGCCTAACCGAGGGCATTACATTTCTATAGTTAAAAGCCATGGATTCTGGTTGCTCTTTGATGATGATATGGTCGATGTAAGTTTTTAATCTTAGCTTAAATGCTTTTATGTAACATAGACATCATTGAAATATATTTAGAACAAAACAATTGGACTTATACTTGCAGAAAATTGATGCATCAACTATAGAAGATTTTTATGGACTTACGTCAGATATTCAAAAGAGCTCTGAAACTGGTTATATTCTGTTCTATCAATCGCGTGATTGTAGTTAAAATTTAAATATAAATAGCAATTGTGAAGTTAAGCACACTCCTGCTATGCTAATTTTCGTATTTTAACAAAGTGCGCGGTGAATCTGAATGTTCTAATGGTATGTTAATTATTTATGAGAATGATATATGATATGTTTGATTATGATTAAGCTCCTAGAATATAAATAAAAGCACGACATAGAATTCCATAATTTGTCTAAATTTTATAGAAAATTTTTGATTTTTGTAAATTATATCGATTATTTTCGGAAAACGGGAGCAGTTTATGTGTAATACTTTATATATTTATTTATAATGTATGTCCGAAAGCTAGTCCGTCTTTGGAAGAGAATGAATAATTTACTATATTACAATAACTTATGTGTCCAGTGATATAGAGAGAAACGTTGGAAGCACTATCAGATTCTATACAAATGTAAAGAAAATATGACTGAGAATAAAAATATTGTTATGAGAACGTGCATTTCAATCATGCATTATGCGCAATGATGTATTTATAGTTTCAAATTGAAATGGGCAATCAGATTTGTAAACATATCAATATTTCATACATGTTTTTTAAAAATAGATCGTTAATTATTCAGACTCTAAGCAATCTTATGTGATGATAATATACAAATAATAATGCAGATTTTTATTTTGAAAATTTTATAGTTTATTCAATATTTTAAGCGATAAATTCATATGGAACAGGCGCGAGTAAGATGGGCGCTTCACGTCCCGAAACAATATGCGCTTTAGACGGTTCGGCTGGTTGTCGCTTGAGCTGAACGCGAATATTTTTCTCCTCTGCCTCCCTTCGGAGTCTCTCGTTCTCCTTGACACGTTTGAGGAAATCATCCCTGCACTTTGAATGGCTCAGATGTTCAATGCGAACATTAATCCTCTTCGCGATGATGCGTCCACGCACTCTCTTGTTCACAATGACTCCAAGAGCGTGCGCAGTCACGTTGAACACGCGACCGGTCTTGCCATGGTAGACTTTATATGGCATACCCTTTTGTACAGCACCATTTCCCTTAATATCAACAATATCTCCAACTTTGTATGTTTTCATATACGTGGATAGGGGAATGGTTCCATGTTTGCGGAACTTGCGAGAGAACAAGTCCCTCGTGCCACGTCTGTAACCCTTTGAGTTGGTCATGGCGATGTATCAATCTATAACAAAAAATTATATATAACTGTTAAAGATATAAAATATTATATTTCATCTGAGAATAATATTCTATACAGATGAGACGTAAATAATACATGCAAAATTTAAAATAGAGATTTCTTATTCTAAAAATACAGATCTTATATGAAGTCTGAAATATATAATTAGATAAAATTCTTCGTTTAATATCAAACAAAAATTAACACACTTATGATTATAAGCTAAAAAATGTCATAGACAGTAATTTTTCTCAAGAAAATTTTTATGTAAAGTTTAAACAAATCTGGCTATATTTTTCCAAGGCTTCTAGGATTGAACTTAACCTAAATGTCTCTGAAATTTTTCAGATGAAATAAGTGAACGTAACATTACAGTTCAAGTTCCGAGTGTGATATTAGAATTTTAAATATAACTTTTAATGAAATTATTCGAAAAATTTGTACATATATTATATATAAATATACAATATAACGTAAAATATGCACGTGGCTCGCGCGTAACCAGTCAAATGAAATTTTACATTTTACATTTCCCGGCCTAGTTGATGAGGCCGCTGTATATTAGTCAAAGAAAATATATACTTATTTTCGACGTACAGCGAGGAAAGGATATTTTAATTCGGTCCAAATTCTAAAGAATCTCGAAAATATTGACAAAAACTTACGTACAAAATTCACGTCTTCTTGACGTCGCCACGAAAAAAGAAACTCTAGAGATGCGACTAGATACGCTTTAAATGCGATACATGTTTCGATATGTCAAAGTCGATATCTCGTAAAAAGATACAGAAAAATCCGCCTCTCATAAAGAACCAAAATCTATGACCATATTTAAGCGCAGACGATAGGAATAGGGAATAGAAACTATTCACCAATAAATACGCGAAATAGAAAATATCCACCAATAGGAACAAAAATAGTATCTATTCTCTGTTCTTATTGGCGAATATTTTTTATTTCGCATGTTTGTGGTGAATAGTTTCTATTCCCTATTCCTATTGCCTGTTGCCCAGCATTGTGCAAGAGTCTTTATAATTTATTTGTATTGCTCTTATCGCTTCTTTAATCACGTTATCCGAGAAGCCGACAAACGGCACTGGAAAAGAATGACATTATTGGCATTTTTCACAGAATTTCACGGAAATTAAACGGATTCTTGCGCCTTCAAATGCATTTTCTCGTCAAAGGTACACCGGAGGCGTCGATTTTACGAGTTTAGTATCGCGCGATGACGCAACATCGTCCGATCTGAAGCGGCGCCGGGATTGGCCACATGATGATCATACGATCGTTTATAATTTTTTAGTTATTGCGTTTGACATATCGGTGTTGCGCTTGCACGAGTTATCTATTGTTCTGAGGTTTATTCGATGTGAAACGAATTATTGTAAAAATTTAACGGCGCGGGGCTAGAAATGGCAGACCCAGGTGGATGGGCGCCGGCCCAAGACAATGATTTCTCTAATTTCCAGTCGAGTGACAGCTTCAATTTGAATGAAGTCACTGGTATCGATGGTAGGTCTCATCAGCGGTGTACTTTCTCGTTTAGCACTTTTTATTCGGAATCTCAGGGATATATAAGACTCACGTGAAAACGTTTTGTAACTTTTTGTTGATTTATCACTTTATCAGCAGATATAATCTTGTCCGGTTGTTGATATGCATCATTTGTACTTTATCTGTTATAATACTGTATACATCTATATAAAAGTAATATAAAAATGATGTAAAATAATTGAGCTTTAATTATTGTTTGTGAGTGTTGGTCTATAAATTTGTATTATATATGTAATATCTAAATTTATTCACTCAAAAATGCTTTAAAAATATATTTTATATCTTGATGTTTAATGTATAATATTTAATTATAATTTAATATGTATAATTTAATGTATAATTTTTTGCCTTATTTATTATTTTACATTATATATGTATGCATAAACAATTAAAATTAAGAAGATTAATATATAATCAGTAATTAAAAAATTGACATTTAATATTAAATATTAACAGGTATGTTATCATATTGCTTAATTTTCTATTAATGTTGCAGATCTCTTAACAAATTGTGAAAATGAATTATTGAAAAATGAGCTATTCAGCGACGAGGCTTTACTTTCTGAATTGGATGATCCTATGGCAGTAGATGGGAATACATTTGATTTCTTAAATATCAACAATGATGAATTTAAGGATTTTAAAGACTACAAAGATCCAGCTATCCTTGAATCGCCGAATACAAATGTTGTAGTGACGCAACAAGCAGTGACAGATAGTAACCAACCTGTTGCTTATATGCAACAAGATATTACATCAGTCACACAAAACAGACCACAGAGAATATCATTGGCTTCAACAACACCTACAGTGTTTAGTTCACAATATGCGATACCACAAAATGTAAATTTTAATGTTCAATCGCCAAATGTTGTAACTTTGGCTCCAGTTGCTCAGCAAAGACAGTTACTTCTACCAGCTAAATTGATAAAATCAGAATCTCTTGTGTATTCTAAAGGTGGACCGACTATTACATCAACTCCTGTTCCACATCAGATACATACTCTTGTAAATACTGCAAATGGAGCAGTGTTAACTACTGGTATATAAAAGTAGATAAGCTTATTTTTAAACATATTTATAATCTTGCCAAAATATAAATAATTCTATAATTGTCTAAATATAAATAATCATGTAGCAATCTTATGATATTATGATATATTAAATAGTTATTATCTTTACAGACATAAAAAAGATACATATAGCCATGTATGATTTCATAGAGTATATTGATATATTTGTGTTCAAGGGATTCCTGTAGTACTGGACACTGACAAAGTACAAATTAATCGTCTAAACACAGGTACACATGTAAGTGTACCAAGAGTGAGAGAAGTCAAACGTAGCGCTCACAATGCAATTGAGCGACGTTACAGAACATCGATTAATGATAAAATAATTGAGTTGAAGAATATTATAGTTGGCGTCGACGCCAAGCTAAACAAATCTGCGATTTTGCGGAAAACTATCGATTACATCAGGAAAGCATAATTAATTTTATTTCATAAGTACATGAGATGACAAGCTTCCTTATTATCCTATACAATTGCAGATATTTGCAAAACACGAACGCGAAGTTAAAAGCTGAGAATATGTCGTTGAAAATGACCGCTCAACGGCAAAATCTTCGTGATCTGTTGATATGCGGGGAACTTACACCTCCTCGTTCAGATTCAAGCGAACCATCTCTGTCACCTGCACCTGCGCCAATGTCACCGCCTTCTCCGTCGTCGGTAAAGGATGATTCAGATGTTCTACAAAATCTTCATTCCGTTTCCACTTCTGGAGGCATGAGAGATCACACCCGATTAACATTGTGTGGATTTATGCTGCTCTTCTTAGCATTCAATCCTCTTGGTATACTTGTGAACAATGTTGGAAAATTCAATTATGATTATTTAAACACAAAATTGGATGGACGGACGATACTCAATTATCAAGGTAAGATTTTCAAAATATTATTTATTTTTTTATTTTGATGAATTTTTTACTGATATTTCTTTTTTTTCGATAGATCAACCAGAATCAGACAAACAGCTATGGAGCAATGTTATTCTCTGGTTCACCAATCTGATACTTCTAGCGGGTGGTCTCTGTAGATTGTTGTTATACAGTGACCCCGTTTTTCCTACTGACAGCAAGATTTTTCTTGAGTTACGTCGTTGGAGACGTCAGGCCGAATTTAATATATCCAAACATGAATATAATCAGGCATATCGAGATTTACATCAATGGTTGCGATATTTCGGTCGATCTTTTCCATTATCGCGAACAGAATTCTATCTCGCAACCACGTGGCAAATAGTGAGGCAAATTCTTCATAAATTATGGCTGGGAAGATTGATCACGCTGATCGGTAAATGGCTCTCGGGGAAATCGGAACGGCAGCAGACGGAGATGTCCGTGGAAATAGCGGTTGTCTACCAACACATGCTCTGCCTTCGTCTATCCGAGGGTACGAAAGATTCGACACTGTATCTCGCTTTATGCGCTGTCAATTATGCTGAGGTCGCCGGTGAGAGTATGCCGAAGCCGCTCCTGGCGGAAATATATGTGAACGTTGCATTGTGTTTGAAACAATCTCTCTTCCCATATATACATAAATATTATCTGGGCAAAGCGCGGGCCTTGCTGTCTTCATGCGCGGTTCCTCCGAAATTAAAGTGGATCATGACTGACGAAGGTGCAAGATTCTTGGCGTCTCAGAAATGGCAATATAAAAAACAGTCTGACAGTGAATTTACATCACAAAGCAGTCGAGCAGACCCGCTATCATATGCAGCTCGTGCCTATAGAAATCATCTGCTCGAGCAATGCTTGCGTTTACTGACCGGTACAGTCGGAGAGTGCCATACATCTACTGTACTCGAATTGGGACGAATGATCATGGCTTCTGCAGAAGTGGACGCCTGTTTCCCATCTATTGACAAAATCAGTGTAGCAAGTATGACAAAATACTGATTAAATTTAAAATAGATCTTATATATGGATGATATATTTTTATGTTATTATTATCTATGTCTATATGTAAAGTTGACTTTTTAAATTTTAAAAAATTGTCCAGAAGTAACAAATTTTTTTACGACATTAATTTTATACAATTTTCGTTTATATTATCAATGTATTTTATTTCTTTTTTTTTTCTATTGTAGCATGTGAAGACGAGATTGGATTATGGTGGGGAGCAGTGATTTGCGCCACCGCGAGTTGGAGATTAGGAGAGGAAGATTCGAAGGCATGGAACATTGTGGAAAGCAAATTTCCTTATGAAAGGAATTTTGAAATCAGTGATAATAGTAGCAGCAGCCCATTACCACATGCTGTACTCAATGTACTGCAAGCAGCGAAACATTCTACAAAATTGGCTTCGATGCGTTTCATTGAGCAGGCAGGATTACTGCTTGAACAATCTATGGTGTACTATCATTGCAAGGAGCAATCATCGCAGAAAGTCTTGGTAAGTTAACAAATTAATTATATGATAGATTTTAATTACAAATAATTGCTTTATCATCAGTATTAAACATATGATATTATTCTAGTTAAAATAGCCAAGTTTCAAGTTAAAATAGCCACATTAAATGCAATGATAGAATTAACATTGGCGAAACTTTGAATTTGTTGATGTCTCGCGCTTTTTTAAAAAAATCTATGAATAAGATCTATAGATTATGTATATTCTTATTTAAAAGATAGATATATATATATATATATATATATATATACACATACACATACAGGGTGTCTCATTTTAATTTCCCCAGGCAAATATTTCGGAAAATAATGAAAAATCGAAAAAATGTTGCAGACAAAAGTTGTATAGTTTCTAGGGGGACATAAGATGGTATCATTGGTTTTACTTTGAAGAGTTATTTGAAGGTCACACATGAAGGCTACCTTCAATTTCTTAAATGGAATCTACATTTTTTCATTACATATTCTTGTAGCTTATCTCGAGAGCAATTATTCAGTTCAGAGCAGTTGTTTTAAAGAAAAGATATGTAATTGTTAATTGCAAATTACATATTTTTTCTTAAAAATAACTATGTGTTTTCTTTACACCAATTGATTCCTCTCATTATTTTGTACATAAAAGTATTAAGATAAGTTAATCGAAAAATGTATATTTTACAAGATATTTTACGGTTTATGTAAAATTAAGAAATAACTTCAAGCCTCATAACTTGGAAAGTACTTAATGAAAACTAACATAATTATAGTGTTTTGGAAAGCTCTCGAGATGAGCTACAAGAATGTGCAAAAATATATAGTGTTCCGTTTAAAAAAATTGAAGTGACCTTCACGTGACCTTCAAATGACTCTTCAAGGTCAAACCAATAGCACCATCTTATGTCCCCCTAGAAACCATACAACTTTTGTCTGAAACATTTTTACGATTTTTCATTTTCCGAAATATTTGCCTGGGGAAATTAAAATGAGACACCCTGTATATAATCTTTTATATAGATATAATTATATATAGATATAATTGTGAAATATTTCAAGAGTTTCATCATTAAATATTAGAAATATTTAAAATAGTTACATTTCGTTTAAAGGTACCACTCTTTCAAGTGTAACCTGTGCTATCGTTTATCTGTTACAAGTGTGCATTGTAGTTGCATTGCATGAAATATAACTATGCAATACTCCTGCAGTGCAACTCCTGTGGCAGGTCGCAGCACCATATATCATAATTTTATGTCTATTTGTAATTCATATATGTGTATATATAAATGTGCTCTTTTAACAGGACTTTGCCCTATACTAATCTGCATACTTTTTCTTTTCAGCTTACTCAGTTATGGATTTGTGACTGGCTTCTCGAAATACGCACAACACTATGGCAAGACTTGAGTCAAGATGCAGAGTTTGAAAAATCTGTCTCAAGTATGTCTCTTGCAGGATTTCAACGTGACTTGGCATGCTTGAGGCAATTGTGTCAACATATTCCAGTAAGTATAAATTCATATACAGGAGGTGTCTAGAAAATTGTCTGTAGTACTTTGAGAAATGATTTAGGACCTAAAAAGAAAGAAAGAAAGCTATAGAAATATAGGTTTCGGGAATAAGTCGTTTCCGAATTATAGTCACTTTTATGTTTAAAAAAATCGTAATTTATAATCTGCTTGGCATCCCTCTTTTTAAAACTTTTTTTAAATTTCAAATTTAAATTAAAAATTCTTAATCACTTCCCGAAGTATTATGGGCGATTTTCCGGACATCCTGTATATTCGTTTTCAATCAATAAAATTTAAACAATGATGTAATAAAATAAAATTTATCCTATCCATATAAAAATTATCTATAAAAATATATAAATATATTATCTACTTTTCAGTCTGTATTGGCACGAGTGTTTTTGTACGAGGCTACAGCACGCATTATGGCAGGAGCAACACCGGTAAAGACTCAGATTTTGCTGGATCGGAGTCTGCATCACAGGAACTCGCGTTCCTCGATTATATGCGGCAAGGATAGATCGCAAGAGCAGAACAATGGCGAGCGGGAGCATGCAGTCGCGTTATATTTAGCGTGCAGACATTTACCAATGCTACTATTAACTTCGCCGGGAGAACGTGCCGGTATGCTCGCGGAAGCCGCTAAAACACTTGAGCGAATAGGGGACAGAAAACGTCTTCAGGAATGTTACAAATTAATGCGACAGTTAGGTTCTGCAATTACTGTTAATTAACATATTTTACGAATTTACTCATATATATATATATATATATATATATATATATATATATATATATATATGTATATGTATAATTTAATATAATTTATTCTATGAATGACAAAATAGGTATACATCATTTATATTATTTATATAAGCATTAATTTATATACATATATAGAAATATATAATCTCGTTTATTATGTTACGTTTATATTGTCACGTTTCTTTGTTTTATATATAATTATTTTCTTATGTTCTTATTAAGAAAGTCATTGTCTCTTTAGTTTCTTGTACTTGTAAAGAAATATTTGAAGATTACTTAATCTAATTACATATAGTATTTATTTTTAATATATAACATCAATGAAATACCCAAAAAATACTGAAATTTACATTTTATCTTAAAATTGAGAGAAAAAAATTATTTGACTGTAATTACAAAAACTTTGAATCATTTAATTTTATTTTACATTATTGGTGGCTAAACATTTATTGGCAAAACATCTATAATCTAAAAACTATATAAAATATGCGTGTTTTTTATTTTCAATATCAAAAGAAGTAGATTGAACATTTCTAAGAATAACAAATTTAAATTTAGTGATCTACAAGAGTAATTAGTAAAAACAGAAATAATATAATGGAAAATAAAAAGAATAATAATTATTTAAGATCTAAGAGAAATACATAAGAGGTAGAAAATTAGATTAGATTTTCCATTTGTCCTATGAGAAACAAATTCAGGATTTTGTAAAGAAAAAATATGGAAATTTATATATAAACGAATCAATGACGAATTAAGAAACAAATTGAAAAAGATAATTAATATTTTAATATTATATCAATAATATAAAATTTACATTTAAGAGAGAAAGGATTATTGAAAAAATTATAAAAATATATTAATAATAAGAACATTATGATACATGATAATTAATACACGAAAATAATTTACAAATTATTTTTTCGATTTAATATATAAATCGTTTATAACTATAGTTACAACTAATCTATAAAAACGAAAGATTGATTGGCTATCGCGTTTTTGAACATGTGTGACGTCTCCGATCACAGATGTTTACAGTATAGATATCGTAGTCTATTGGCGTTTCCAAATAATCGGCAGTAATCGCTACGGGATAGTTATTAGACATCATTAACCAATCAAAGCCATTCTTTTAAAGAATGTAACCATATATTCTTCAAAAGAATGACTGTGATTGGTCAATAGCGAATGAATGTAATTGGTCTAGTAAACTACCGAGCGATTAAACTCGACCATTTGAAAATGCCATATACAAAACCATTGCCATATAAAAACAATAAAAACTAGGCACATCCATTTTTTCCCTATAATATTGGCGGCAATTATTGTATAACTGTCTTTGTAGTCCGCTCGCCCTTTCAATTGCTTTTCTTTGTAACCGTTCCGAAAGATCCTCTTGTTTTACTTCGAAGAATTTTGGTTTTTAATAATTATATCATTTTATTGCAATAATGGAAATCGAACCTTCTGTTAATAATAATTCAAATATGATTGATTCCACGTGCGACTCGTTCACAGGTAATTAATTTTATTTCTCGAGAAAATACGAACATTGTCATATATTTATAAGCACATGGCAAGTTTTAAAATAATCTATTGTTTCTAAGTCTACTTTTTGCTGAAACTTCAAGGAAATGAACTTTAAGCAAAAAGTAGACATTATTCCTCTTTATTAAAAAATATTTTAATACAAAAGTGTGTGCTTCCCAATTATAGAATCATTTTTTACTCTCATTCGAGAAGAGAATGTCACATTATTCCAGTCCAATTTATTGAACGAACAAGAATCGCAAATTTTATCTATTTTCATTAATCAAAATAATTTATAAAACTTTTTTCTAAAATTTTCTTTTTGCTTATTCCTTTTTTTTTGTCACTTTAATTTACAATATTCTGAAAAGTTCCTAGTCATCTCAAGCAATGATTTTGTAATTAGAAAACATTTTGTATATGTATATTTTATTTTATAATAATTTAATATATTTATTTACTTTTTCTATTTATAAGACATGTCTCTTGTCAATAATGTCAACTTTGATAATACACCATTGGAAGAAGAAAAGAAAAAAACAAGAAAGAGACGCTACAATGAGAGTGAGCTTGAAAAAAAACAGCTTGAAGAAAAAGAATATAATCGTGAAATGCATGAGCAAAGATACAAGCGATTGATGCATTTGTTGAACAAGAGTCAATTTTATTCAAAGTTTTTGGTAACTAAAATTGAAAAAAGAAAGAATGTTAAGAAAAGAGGCAAGTCCACTATTAATAATGAAAATATACCGCCAAGTAAGAAGACAAAGAGGGCTGATTTAGAAAAATATGATATACAAGAATATATAGCTCCTGAAGTAAGTAATAAAAAAAAATTCAAATTTTGTCACAGTTTGTCATATCATTTAAATACAAGAGTATTTAATAGAGAATCTAATCATTTAATTTGATTAAATTACAGATCAAAAAACAGATGCAGACTAAAAAGAAGAAAAATAATCTAAGTCAAGAAGACATAGAAGCAGAATTGTCTGCAGATTCAGATACTGAAACAAAACCATCTATTGTGCAAAACCCTGCTATTTTACCAAAATATTTTCATGGTGAATTATACAATTATCAGCAAGCAGGTTTAGAATGGTTAAAAGTGCTTTATGAAAACGCCTTAAATGGAATTTTAGCTGATGAAATGGGACTTGGGAAAACAATACAAGTGATAGCCTTGATTTGTCATCTTATAGAGAAGAAACAAGCAGGACCTTATTTGATAATTGCACCTCTTTCTACTATACCGAATTGGCTGATGGAATTTGAAAGATTTGCTCCTGACATACCAGTTGTGCTATTTTATGGTAACAAAGTTGAAAGAGAAGCTATACGCATAAAAATTAAAAATAGTTACCATGTTGCAAATGATTACAAAACACAACCTGTTGTAATTACTACTTATGAAGTGCCATTACAAGAAACTAGATTTCTTCAGTCTTTAAAATGGAGATATATTATAATAGATGAAGGACAAAGAATCAAGAATCATTATTGCATGCTAGTCAAGTATGTTGATTGTTTAATTAGTTATGAATATCAACATTCAAAAGTTATTTGTGAAATTAGTACAAGTTTAAAATAATAAAAAATATTTTAGATAATGGTTGTTTATAAAACAATATCTATTTTTCTATTTATTATATATTTATTTTTTTTAAATAATTTTTAAATGCAAATATTTTATTTTTTTGTTTTAAAATGATTGATTTAAGATTATTGGTTTATTTTTTTTAGAAGCTTAAAAACGATGCAATCTATGAACAGGCTAATATTGACTGGGACTCCACTTCAAAATAATTTAGCTGAATTATGGTCTCTTTTAAATTTTTTATTGCCTGAAATTTTTGACGATTTAGCTGTATTTGAATCATGGTTTGATATTAAAGAACTTGAGGAAGAAGGCGCCGAGAAGTTTTTGAAACAAGAAGAAGAGAAACATATATTATCATCATTGCGTGAAATTTTGAAACCATTTATGTTAAGACGAATAAAAGCTGAAGTTAATTTGAAGATTCCTCCTAAGAAGGAGCTGGTAGTCTATGCACCGCTTACAAAATTGCAGCATGATCTTTACAAAGCAGTATTAAATTATGATTTAGAAACATTGAGCAAAATTGAAAAGCCAAATCTAATTATAGAAAGCACAGATGGTACAAAACCGAAAAGACAGGCTTTTTTGAGAAGTAAATATGGCTCTACCAATAATAATTCCGAAAATGAAATATCGCCGAATACTTCGTTAAATGAAATCAAAAATAGCAATGATGCAGATGAGTGTAAAACAACCAAATCCAAGGACGAACAAAATTTATCAATATGGAAACAGTATACTGATGTTACAGAACGTAACAGAGATTTTCTTGTTCGTATTCAATTTCAAAATAGAGGTAAGTTATTAATAATAATATATTTCATATTTCCCTATATTATTTACTTTGTTATATATTATATATTTATATTATATATACATTTTAGTACCAATGTATAAGAAAATTGTAAATCATCCATATTTGGTTCATTGCCCGTTGGATTCAGTTGGTTTACCGAAAATCGATAACGATTTGATTAGATCTTCTGGCAAGCTTTTGGTGTTGGATGCTATGCTGGCGAAACTTCATGCGCGGGGTCATAAAGTTTTACTATTTTCAACAATGACTATGATTTTAGATATGATAGAAGATTATCTTTCATTACGAGATTATAATTATGTGAGATTGGATGGTAGGATTAAAATCGAAGAGAGAAAAGAAAATATTAAAACTTTTAACAACGATCCGAATGTGTTCCTATTTCTTATATCTACTAGAGCTGGTGGAGTTGGATTAAACTTGGCGAGCGCCGATACTGTTATTATATACGACAGCGATTGGGTGAGTTAATAATCTCGATGTAATTTTTTCATGCTGTCGATATTTATTATCGAGCTTATTTGCATTCGTGAATTTTAAATGCTTACAGAATCCACAAGCGGATATACAAGCTATGGCACGATGTCATAGAATAGGACAAACAAAACCAGTTGTTGTCTATAGGCTGTGCACTAGAGGAACAGTTGATGAAACGATTATCAAGCGTTCAGAAGCTAAACGTATTTTAGAAAAAGTAGTTATTTCAAAAGAATGGCATAAAACAAATATTTTTAATAAAGATGTTGTGTTACAACTGAAACAATTAATGGAATCTAAAGAATATAAAGTTGTTACTTCTGAAAATGAGGGTAAGTATTTTTGTCATTAGATAATATATAGATCACTCAAATATATATATAAAGAATCATGCTGAGATTAATAAATCGATTTTTTTGTAGTGTTTACAGAATTAGAGTTGAATAAATTGTTAGATAGAAGTGATATGATTGATAAACAAGATCTACATAACATTCAAGAATAAATCAAGAATATAATTACGAATGACATGAAAAGTAAGCAAACTTTTATCCCATAAAAAGTTGAACGCATTTTTGCAATAAAATTTTATTATAATAAAATTTTTTGCAATGATAAATAATAATGTATATTTATTTTTTTTATAAAAATTGAAACTTTTTTTAATGTATTTAAATTAAATTAATTTATTAGTAATGTAAGAATATTGTATGTATGTTTTCTTCTTCTCTTTATATCATATTAAATCACAATAAAATAATTTTTTCAACGTGATGTTTCAGATTAATTTAATCTTGTACATATACAAATCAAGATTTATTTGATTTCATACGAGTTTTCCCTATTAGATGATTTTTATATTTACAGGATTGAACTAATTGTTCACGAAATTCAGTTTCTAGTTTCATATATGTTCCACCTGTTTCAATATGAGCGATTATTTATGTGATATTGATATTTTGCTTTTACTTAATTTTTAATATATAATTATGTACATGAGAAACATACCAATAGGTTGCTTAATTTTATAATTATGTTGCTTGTTGTAAGATTTCGAAAGCAAGTTCTCTGTAACTGTTCTTTTTGTCAAAAGAACTATCATTTGCGCCGCGGCTCTTTCTTCAAAATCTCTTTGATTATCTTGATTATGTCTTATATTTAAATTACCGCTCCAACATCTACTGTTGTTCCTAAAAGACGATAAGATTACAAAGTGATTTTACATTATAAAAATACTATCAACACAAATCTCTTACTTTTGACTATGTTTCGCTTTATTCATTGGTTTTAATGCGCACAATGTATTAGATTCTTCGCTGTAATACGATTCGTCATCTATACTGCTGTCCTCATATGCAGTCCCGCCGTCGTCTTCATCGTCCTCGTCCGTAATCGAAGAGGCTGGAGACGAAATATCGGTTGTAGTTGTGGAAATCTGTCGACGAAGTTTCTGTAAAGATTTTTGCGAATCTTGCGCTTGAAGCAATCGACGGAGCCCCGAATTTCCCCAAATCTTTCCTGTTTTTATAACAAAAATTTTTTCTCCATGTGCATTGTAATAATTTAATGAGACATGAATAGAGACTTTCTCGAAAATTATTTACCGAGCAGGCCAAGTTTTGGTCTCGGTGGCACGAGTTCTATGCCATTCCACCACATTATATCCTTGCATACTAATTTGCCTGGACGAAGAGACGGATCGCGTGTCACCAGTCGTGTAATCTTCTCCGGGAAAAAAAGTTGAGGTGGTTCGATAATTATTACTTCTCTATTCGCTGTCAAGATATTTAAAACGTTTAATTCTTTCTCGCTCTTTATATCTGGTACATGTTCCTAAAACAAAATAAATATAGAAATAAAAATCTTATATAAGCGACATTATTATATGTATATATATTACACGCTCCTATATATTTAATATAATACTTAATACAAAAGTAAATTCTCTTTAATTTATAGTTACAAAAAATATGATACTAACTTTGTACCTGCATCCACCTTGGCTGGATAAAGCTTCGAATCTGTAGGCACGTTGACTGCAGCACGGATATCTTCCTAGAGGGAAAGGTGTAGGCCTCTGTTGCTCGTTTACAAAAAATTGTGCAGATTCTGGATGATAACAGCACCAGTCAATCTGATGTATCGGAAAGTACACATTGCACTGCTGGCAGAACAAGAAATGGCAATCTCCCCACAATCTCCAATAAACTTTGCGCCAGGAGCGCAACTCTGATCGTAAGGTAATGATGTAATCATTTAATGTCCAAGTCAGATCTCTGTAAAATAATGAGATATTTTTCATCTTTCATGTGTAATAATATCGATATAAACTTTTACAACATATACGTTGTGTATACCTCACATGTTTACTATGAACAGCTCCCTTGTTATCAATTTTCATTGCACTTGGAATGCAAGGCACAAAATCGGAAATCGATTGTATAACATTCTTGTTGCATTTCCCACATTTAAACAGCATAGCCAATGAACTATAATGACCCTTTTTATTATCTGGAATAGTTTCTACCAGTGACATAATTAATTTACAAAACAAACGACTTTGAATTTTATCTTTTTTGTCCTTTAACATTTCAACATCTTCATTTGTAAATAATTCAGCCAGTCTGTCAATAATCATAAGCCTCAATAAGATAATAGAAAAAAAATTTAACTATTTATTTTAGCTATTTATTACTGTTCGCTGTATAAATGTATATAATAAAAAGTATAATTAAAACTATGATGAGAGAACATAATGAAATACATGCCTTGTAAGAAGATTATCGTCTAGACACGATAAGATCGTCGACGTCTTCAAAATATCTGACATATTGTCATGGCAATATTGAAGACAATTTTCTAAAAGCGGTTCCATTTGCAGAAAACAAGCGGATACCATAATTGGAATGACATTACTCGCCTCTAGAACTGGCCATTCAGATTTTTTTATGATATCTTTTTTCACCCATCTCATCAGCCAGTCAAAGATAACAACATCACAATGTACCGATATGTCTATCTCATCAAGTTTTTGCCCTGCTGTGACATCAGCAAAATAACACATTTTTTGTATAAGAAGTTTTTGTGGACATCGAAAATTTTTTTTTATATTTTTATCTTCGTCGCATACATGAATTTCCACATCGTTCCTAAGAAATACAAAATGATAAATAATGATAATTTTATCAGAATTTTATTGTTTAAATTTTTGACATATAGGAATTAATCTAGCTTTATTTATTGAAGATATTTTTAACTTTGTAAACAACAAAATATTTATATTATTGTACAGTTATATTATTGCACACTTTAATCAATCTTATATATATTTATTATATTGCTCCCAAAATACTTACTCTAATGATTTCTTGTTTATCTTATTTTTTTCTTTATCGCGTTCTTTATGAGTTGAAACTATTGCTTTATTCTCAGTCACATTACCCAATGAAGAATTTTTTTTAACATCTGTGACAACAGTAGATTTTTTAATAACTGGTTGTGATAGAGTGGATTTCGGTAGCATATATGGCAAAACAGAGTCCAATAATCCTTCATGTAAAATATCTCTTAGATTTTCCTTCATGACTTTTGCTAAACTATGTTCATTCTCTTCTAATTGTTCCTTAAATTGTGAACCTCTCCTCTTCTCATTGAAAATTTGACAATTTTCTGACAGCTGATTTATTTCTTTGATATTATCTCCTGTTTCTAAACATTTATTAGGAACACTTTCTACACTGTTAGATTCTTGCGTAAAGTCATCCTTATTGCATGCCTCATAAATAGTATTACAGGAGACTACGGAAGATTGCGAGCTTATCGTACTATTTGATATACATGTATTTGTTTCTTTACTACTTGTTGTTTGTAATGACAACTCCTGTACAGAATCATTATGTTTGTATTGTTGTTCTTGATTATTGAGATTAAATTTATCATTAGTTACTTTATTATTTTCACGTATTAGATCTAAATTAATCTTTGTTAATTCTTGCCAATCAATTTCACTGTTGGCGCTTAATATCGTAGCCAAACCTTCACAACTATCATTAACTTGATATGCAGTTCTCATAAATTCGAAGAATGCTCCAATTGTTAATTTCGAGTGTTTTTCTTCTTGGAGATTTTGTAATCTTTCAGCTAAATTCAAAGTGTTTATTATTACTATCATTCATAATCTTTTGTATCATAATTATGACATAGTTTGACCCATTTTTGTGCGATTTAATGTGCTGAGCAGTGTAATCTGATACACGCAATTTAGTCTATTAACAGTTAGTTTAAAACATAGCAACAGAGTAATTGTGCTAGTGCAGAAATCATCAAAACACTTCAAAATAAAAGTACACTATAAAAGTATACCAAAATCTTAAGTTTAGCAGTCTACCAGTGGATCTATATATACCTTCATTAGTTGTTAAAATACTTGATTTTAATATTGCATGTGCATTTAAAGCTATATTGTTAGCTACATTATTCATTTCATGTGACTCCATGATTCTCCTTTTAAGAATATTTTCAATTTAATCCTTGCACTTATATAAAAAGGGATTACTTTCTCTTTCGATTATTTATCGAAATATTTCACACTGATTACATCGTATAACTTCGATGCACAATATATAATTGTTTATAAAAATTGTTGCAAGAATTTTATTGTAAAAAAGAATTATGAATTATTTAAATAAAATTGGAGCGGAAAATGTCACGCAAAAGTTTCAACAGCACTTGTCATTGCTTGTCACAAATTGTCATCAGCTGATGATCAGCTGATAATTGTTATAGATTGAAGTAATGCTAGATCTACAAAGAGCAAATAATTTTGATTCTAGCTTTCCATGTTTTGACGATAGATGACGCCAGATGAAAAAAAAAAATGGAAAAGCGGGAAATTTAAATAAAACGTAATTTTTTCCTTTAAACATGTTTTTAATAGACTGTCTTATAAAATCAGAGATAAATTCTAATATCTATCTGTACAAGGATTTCAATCATGCGTCGCTTTGTAACTGCAAATTTTCTGAAAAATGAAATTCAATACTTCTTTAGCGGTATAGGTGCGCGTATCGGAATTATTTATCCTTATTACAATACTTCCAAATTCTCTGATATAATGTTCTAGTTCCTTATCATTTGACAAATCTTTCGTCACCATGTATTTGTTAGTGAGCTGCGACAGTTTCAAGAAATCAGAACTGAATGCTTCATTTAAATCAAACAGTTCTAAAGCAGGTGGTGGTAATTCTTGAAAACTTGGGGGAAATACCTATAGGATCATTTCAAAATTATATACATAACAAATGTGTTAATATATTAGAAATAAAGATTAAGCACAAGATGCAATGCTCACTGAAGCTTGCGTAGGAGGTAAAGGTGCCTCAAAATGAGGTGGAATTAAAGTGAGCGGTTCATGTTTCACTCCCAAAGCTTCATATGATTTTATACATGCTGGTACCATGTTCAAATTTACGGAATAAAAATGTTGTTTAAATAACTTGGTGTACTCGCGAGGAATATCGATATTGTCCAAATCTTGTGTACAAACTTTTGGATTATCTGCCTGTTGTGTTAAATCTGGCACAAAGTTATATTCCCAAAACTGCACATTCATAAAAGTACATTTTGTCAATTGCATTTTTTAAATTTTATAAACTCGAATATATAAAAAATCTTATTCTTTGAATTACATTACTTTATACAATTAATTTTAACTTTAACTTACTTCTACATCGTCTGTGTTAAGATCCACTATCCCTGTGATATCCAATTCAAAAAAATCAAAAATCATTTCACGCAAAGCATCATTATTCTCCTTTTCTATATAAGTATCTGTTAGCATTCTGGATGAACCTAACACAACCAATTTTCCACCACTGGTTTTTACGCAGTGATAGGCACAAATGGGTCTATTCATCGGAATAGCAATTGATCCACTGGACAAAGCAACAACAGATGGTTGCACTACATTTAATGTTGCACCATAAGGATATAAAAATTTCATATCACTGAAATAATTATTTTAATTGTTAAGAAAGTTGATAAAAAATATAAAATATTAAAAAATATTGTCTTACATGCACTCATCATGATTCTTTAAAAATATAGATTTATTTGACAAGCCTTGACATATTAGAGATTCCTTAGGATGCATTGTTTGACTGTAACTCATGCGCGCTACACTATCTGGAAATAGAAAAATAAAAGATTATAAATTTATATACATATATAAGGCTTGAATATGGAATATTTTTTATCTCCCTCTCTTTTCTTTGAATATTTTACATACCATTATTTACCATTATGCCAAATTCTTCTAACAAAAAATTGATATTTGTGTTAGATTTGTTTTCACCACCTTCCCCAAGTGTGACAAGAACACTGCCACCAGAATTCAAAAAAGTTCTAATGGAATTCATTTCAAGCTCGGTAAATTTACCTAATGGTCCTGGTAATACTAAGATCTTGGCACTTGCCAATAATTCTTGCGATATCACATCATTATTTCTGAAATATATTCATTTTTATAAATATAAATTTGTTTTCATTTTTAATAAAAACGCCTAGAATTCTGTGATATAATTCATACAATATATAAACAACTGAGATTTCTGTTTAACTTAATTTTTACTAACTCTACAAATTTCCACTTTGCTTTCAATTTTCGCTGAAGTACTTTGAATTCGTCGTTCAATTTTCTTTCATTTTTTGAGACGTCAAATATAACAATGTTGTCGGTTTTATCGCCACTTCCAAAAATCGAGCTCATGATTAAATTATTATTATTATTAATCGATTTTTAATATAATTATTTATGCAACATAATATAGCGTACAGTCGACATTACGTTATTATATCACATTCGACAACTGTCAAAGTATGTATTGTCAAAATATTCCATTGCTATGACAACCGCATGGTTGTCATACACGTGATCAAACATATAATCAGTTATGATTGGTAATTATTAATAATCTAATTATTTATTACATTCTACCTATTTTTATAGCAATTAAATAATTTCTGTAAAATTTTTTTATTAAAAAACATTCCGATAAATTCTCCATTTCTGATTGTTTCGCGTTATTCGCGCCTTGTTATAATAATACGATATGTAATAAAAAATGTCGATAATGTTAGAGTTCTTCAATTTCATCTGGTGATCACGAAATTTTTCGTGTAGTAGTGTCAGTATTTTATCGATAATCAAGATGTCGTTAATGTGGTATTCTTTAAAGAAAAAAAAACGAAAATTACTCATATCACTTCATACATGATCGTAACAAAGTTCTTTTCTCTGATTGGTCCAAATTGAAGCTCGCGTAGCGAAGTATCGCTTGGCATTGGTGGACATCATCGTAAATATCGTGTGGTGGAAACGCTATTGAAAAATTGCTTCTATGAAAAGCGGTTGCTCTAATCAATTCGTAATTTGTTTCTCGAATCGATATGGTGCATATGAGAAGCCATCACGCTGATCACTGAACTACGTATTTTTCAATAAATACGACACAATTTCAGCCCATGGTTCTTTATATTTACGAGTAATCTTCGAATCGAGCAAAATGAGCAAGGTATACAAAAGAATGTAAAGGAATTATGTTTCGACAATTTAATGTGTTTAATTAACGAATGCGTTATTGCTTTATTTACGCGAGTAGCTGTTCTATTTATAATTAAATATTTCTTATCTCAAAAAAGTTCAATATGAAATATTTACATGTATATATTTTTTCCCCTTTGAAATATACAGAGAGATATGACAAATATAATGGAGACGAGAAAATTATATGATTGTATAATTTTATCCATCTTACTTATCAGTATTTCATTTGTGATTTTTTTTATTTTAATTTTTAATTTCATATGTATGTATTTAGATGTCACGTTATCCCTCGGATGGCAAAGTCTATGTGGGAGACTTGGGAAGTAGCGCTAGTAAGCAAGAATTGGAGGATGCATTTTCCTATTATGGATCCCTACAAAATGTCTGGGTTGCCAGAAACCCTCCTGGATTTGCCTTTGTTGAATTTGAGGATCCTAGAGATGCAGAGGATGCAGTGAGAGGACTGGATGGTCGTACTTTATGTGGAAGACGCGTTCGTGTAGAACTGTCAAATGGAAAGAAATTGAGAGATAGAGGCTCCTTTAGGAGAGGCAGTGGCAGACCTTTTCATCCGGAAGATAAATGTTATGAATGTGGTGAAAGGGGTCATTACGCTAGAGATTGTCATCGTCATAGGAGTTCTCGCAGAAGAAGGTAAGTCTCCTAAAAATTTCTTATTGAATAGAATTAATAATTATTTCATATACTTTCATATTTTTATATATATAACAATACAGTTCTTAAAAAGCTTGTATATATTATTAAACTTATGTTTAAAAGATTGTACATTGAATTGTGTACATTTTGTATGTAAGTTTTTGCCTTTGTTATGTATTACGGGGACTTAACTTGCAGGATGAAAGAAGATTATAAAATAATGATAGAAAGATATAGATTTATATCCTGTTATATTATATAGGTTCAAACTTACAATTGTTTCAAAAATATTTCATATTAATCATTTGTTGCGTTTAGATTAAGTTTTTACTGTGTATTTTATTAATTATTTAATATTTAATAGTTAGGAGAAGTGCAAAAATACAGCTCTTTTTAATATTATATATCTTCAATGTGATGGTTTATATAGCTGCACATAAGATATACTTGATCAACTGATTGTGTAGTATTGTATTTATTGTTTAAATTTTACAGTCGTGCAAAAAGATTGCATAGGTTGTCTTATTTGTCCAGTAGCGATAAGTCATTCAGATGATCAATGATTAAGAGAAAAAAAATAATTCCTACAAACATAAAAAACTGGTTGTAAGGCGGCAAACGTAATACTACCCGTTATTTATAGGAGTTGCGGCTGAGCATGCGGCACACGCATGAGAAACGTGTGTTGCTGCCCGACATTGTCGCGCGAGATTCGCCTTGGGTTCACGTGTTCGTGACACACACATCGCGCGTCGTAGTTACAGCGTAGAGCACCCCACCTACTTTGGGTTTCCTTCTGCACATCTCTGCGAGCGAGAAAGCGCGGCAAAATCATGAGGGGCCGGACACGTGTGGCGGCTACTAGTTCTGCGCACCACTACGATACCGATCCACTGACCACTGACCATCACTGATGTAGATCGAGAGTTTATGCACGTCGGCGTTCTTCGTTCAGCTATCTGTGATTTCTGCCTAGTTGTTGTCGTCATCGTCGTCATCGTCGTCGTCGTCGTCGTCGTCATCATCGTCTTCGTCTTCGTCGTCGTCGTTGTCATCGTCGTCGTCCTCGTAATGATACCTAATGACCGCTGAGAGATAAACTTTCAGCGTTTCCATCTCTAGCCACTCTTCATCTCCGTTCATCTCCGTACCTATCGTGATTTCATCTGCATAAAAGCGCTCGTCTACTCTCCCTTCCCAGCGTAGCCATCGCGTGCACGCGATCCACGATTATCTGCTATAAGTACAGCCCGGGGAACAGGATGGTACATAAGCAGAACCAGTCAAGTATATAGTCTACATGGATTAATGTATACGGTGACGCAGAGTGAATTTTGAATGAGCGTAATGAAGAAATCCGTATTACATTATTATGCATAAGCTTGCACCAGTCTTAAAGTTAGTTGCATATATTGAAATAGTTGGGTAGAAAGTTATCCAACAGAAATTGCGCAGAAGTTATATCGATACATTTTTAAAGACTAGAGTGAGACTGAGTAAGACTGACAATTTTTATATATTAGAGCTCGGATAATTTTACTATTTAATTTATTATACATACACTAACATGCATCCTCCATTAAAAAAGAAACTTGTATCGAGACATTGCACCTTTATAAAAAAAATTTGTTAGACTTATAAATAAATATATACATATGCATGTATGTGTCTATATACGTAAAGGTTTAACAGGAGCAGATTTTACCATATTGGCGAAAACGGAATGCGCGCAATAATTTTGAAGATAGTACGCGCTAAAAGTAAAAATCTAAGTTCTCGAGTTCTAAAAAACAGTAGTGAAATTATCATATCTCATGTTTCATGCTAGTGTTTCGTAACAGTAGGATATAGGCAAAAATATACGCACGTGATTATATTAAAACATTTATTCATTGTACTTTTTACTTTAGGTGTTCCCGCTCGCGATCAAGATCACGATCGCGCTCGCGCTCACGTTCCCGCTCGAGATCCCGTAGTAATCGTTCGCGTTCGCGCTCATCACGGCGCAGCCGATCCCGCAGCAAAAGCGATAGTGCCAGAGATAAGTATCGCAACAAGAAACGCAAATCTGTTTCCAAAGATCGAACCAAGTCAAAATCTCGATCGGGCTCTAGATCACGAAGCAGATAAATGAGTGAGTATCACAAATATCGTTTGTTATCGTAAGATTAATTGATAATATGTTACGTGTTGATAATGTGTTTTTTGTTTTAGCATAGATATGATTTAAAGTCGACGCGCCTTCGGCGGACCCTCCGTTTGACTTCTGCAATGGAAAACTGCGATATATATTTCCTTAATCTATCATTTAGCGAATGCAGACTGCCACCTGTTTTCAGAATATGGATAAATGACTGGACGATTATTTTGTACACAAGAAAGACATACATATTACTATATTGTTACTATTACGGTTCTCTTCGCTCTGTGTTCTCATCGTTCTTAAGTTTCATGTAAACCAATATTCAATAAAGGGGTAACTTTTCAACCATGCACGCGCTTGTACATTGGATACTTTGATTATACGTTCAATCGACATCTCCCAAGTTTTCACATAAAACAAGTACATGTTTACGCTCTTCCTTTTTCTACTCCCTAGGTTCACATGTACATCTGCGTGTCTGATCGCGATTACGACTCGACGTCGCCGAGTTTTCTTCTCTCTTGAAATTTTTTGTATCATCATTACTCGACAGAAGGCAGAGCGAGTTAATAGGCGTAGCATCAACTATGGCTATAATTTAATTTGCGAGCGTATCATATTACGTTTTGAAGAAATTGCGTTAATGAATAATTGAAAAAGATAATATAATAGAGAGATAATATATAACAGAAAGATAATATCATATATAAGATAATATAAATATAATTCTATTTTCTTAATATAAATATAATTCTATTTTCTTATATTAAAAATATATTTTTATGTTTCTAGACTCATCGAATGCTATTGTCATATATATATATATATATATATATATATATATATATATATATATATGTGTATGTATGTATGTATATACATATATATATGAGAGAAATTCTATATACTGAATGTTATATTTAAAAATAATAATGAAAAAGAAGAGAATGTATGGTAGTGCAATAAAAAAAATTAAACTTTTTATATTTTATTAAGTATCTTTCAATATAAAAAATTTTGATAATAGTAATAATAATAATTTTACACACACACACACACACACACACACACATATATATATATATATATATATATATATATATATATATAATTAAAATATAATTGAAACTTATTTTAATTAATATTATTTTCAGTTTTGGAAAAGTGCAATTCACACAATTATTCTATACGACCGCAGAAATATGAAGACTCGACGATACGACATTCACCGGCGTGGCCGGCCTAAATTCCAACGGTTCGGCACCTATGGCTTTGCCAGAGGAGGATTAAAAAGTCGATGAAGTGGGGCAAGCAACGAATGAAGGCGCTACACTGAATACGAAACACTAAGGCAGTGCGGTGAGGAAGCAAAGGGAGTTAAAAGAAAAAGAAGAGAAGGAGGAGGAAGAAGGGATGAAGTCGGTGCAGGCATCGATGGGGCCGCTTGCTCTTTAGCGAAGCGTCAGTAAAGCGCCGGTAACGTTTGCCTCGGTTCTGTTCGATTAATCCTGTTCTCTTGATCTCGCTGTGTTCTTCTATAGAACAGGATTTTCCTGTATGCGAGGAATGTGCGTTGCATCGCGTAGCGTAGTTTAACTTTGTTCTGCGAAAGCGAAGTATTTCGCAGGCTAATTACATCCATTCGCCGTATTGTTCTACGTCAAGCCAATTGCACGAGCGCGAATAATCGAGATCAATTAAGCGAACGCGATGACTTCCGCATATGAAGCGATCACGGAACGCGAACAGCAGCAGAAGGCGACGACTCCGCGCGCTGCCACTAAAGCTCACTTCGATAATCGAGAGTTAGCTAACCCGGACAATCCTATCACCGATATGGCGGATTCCTCATTGTCACGTGAAGCTAATCTTGCAACAGATAGTTCTTCCGAGCAACTTGCCACGGAAGTCAACGTTTTGCCCAGTGAATCATTTCAAGAGGATCTAAGTGCGCTGGATGAAAATGCGTGCAAAGAAGAGGATAAAAATGAAAAAAGTGTCGATATTTCGCGAATGAATAAATCCAAAAAGAACGAGGAGTTGAGGATCAATGAGCATAAGGAGAATTCGGTTTTAAATTTATCAGCGAATAATAACGTAGCGCCGGAAAATGTATTCACGTATCACGCAAAGGAAGACGAACACACTGAGGACGACAAAATCCAGGACCAAGAGAGATCCAAGGATCAGGATCAACGAAATCGGAGCATAGTGGAAATTGGAGTACAAGAACGATATATGATATGCGATAGCAATATTCATATCAGAGATAAACAACGAGATTTCACAGCGGGAGATATACGAGCTTGTTACGAGAAAGTGGCGGAACTTGGTCTGGATATGAAGGCCGAGATGCAAAACGAGGGGACGGAAAGGGAGATTATTATCGGCCGCCAGGACAGCGATTCGTTCTACGATGCCGTACGATCGGGAGATGTTAAGCGCGTCTCAGCGTTGATCGCCAGCGGCTGCGTGCAAAACCTGGACGAACCGGATTGGAACGTGTCGGGTGATCCACCCCTACTGATCGCCGCGACGAATCATTGTTTGCCTGTGCTCAGGTAGATACTTCAGTTTTGTTTCCGAAAAATAATTATCGCCACTTTTACTATCGCTTAAGATAATATTGTACTATTTTACGTAACTATCTCCTTTTCGAAGCTTGCACCAATTTAGAAACTTTGAGTCATTGCATTCTTTCTCTCGAATATATTCAATATATCTATTAATAGATTCATAAATCTCGAACTATTAATAAATTCTTAAACCAGATATATTACTATTTATTTAAATTCAAAATTAATCCAATTATTATTACACTATTTTATTTTCGTAATTTAACGTAATGTATTGTAATTATACTTTATATTCTTTTTTTATATAGTACCAAAATGTTTTATTATATATAATTAATATTAATAGTAAAACTATTATAATTAATAATAGTAATAGAATGCGTGACTAATGTATAAAGTATATATGATTAATTGTATATGACTAACAAATATTATCTTTTTTTATCGTTGAATATATTATAGGACACTGTTGACAAGCGGATGCGATCCAACTGTGCGTTCCCCGCGTGGTGAAACGGCACTTCATAGAGTGATTCTGAACGGCAGACCAGGCAATGTGTTGAAATTCGTGAAGGATCTTTTGGAACACGGCTGTCCGCCGAGCGTCAAAGAGGCCGGCGGTGGATCAACCGCGTTGCACATGCTCTCCCGTCAGCTGGCACACACACCGCTAAAGTCTCATCATCACGATTTCGACGCCGCCTTGAAGACGCTGGAATTGCTGGCGAATGCCGGACCCGTCAACGCCAAGGATCATCAGGGCCGAAGCGCCCTACACATCTTAGCATCCTCCACCGTATTCGGTACGATTAAAATAATATTGTTTTTAATAATGTTTACATAAAATTTATTCTTCGTTCATAGCTCGATGAGTACACTTGTTCTCTTTGTATTTTTCCCATAATAATTTGCAAGATTTTGAATGACACATGATTTTGCGCAGATAACAATTGCAAGACGGACATCGAATCGGTGATCGGGACGCTCCTGACTGCTGGGGCTGATACCTCGCTGAAGAATGATCGCGGCGAGACAGCGTTGCACGAGAGTCTGGAGTGCGGGGCATTGAATACCGCGACGTTCTTGATGCCGCTCACGCCGACAGGCATCGCCTCGCGTTATGGCGAGACCCCGTTGCATATAGCCGCCCGGAAGAATCACATCGACGTGGTGATGTGGCTGCTGGATCATGGCGAAGATCCGGGGACACAAGATGCCGGCGGTAACACGCCGTTGCATCTCGCGTCGGCGAGGGGATTTCATCAGACAGTGTCGCTGTTGGTTACCTCACCCCTGGCTCAGTTGGAGAGGGTCAACGTTGATGGTCTGACAGCGCTACAGGTTGCCGCCGAGAGCGGATTTTTCGACGCTGTCAAGGTGCTGCTCAAGGCCGGCGCCGATCCCAGTCAAACTTTGCGCTATTGCGCGACGATCCTGCGCCGTCATCCCGACATTTCTCTGCTCATCGATTACGAATTGACCAGACGTCGGCAGCTCGCCGCCTGATCATTCTATGATTCTTGCCTCTGGTATTCAGTAATTGCTTAAAATTACTAAATAGAGGTTACTATATATAAAATTGTCACACACTTGTTATTGCTCAATGTTGCGATATATATCGCGTATTAATTATATCGAAATTTATATCGAAATTCTATGTGCAATCGTAAGTATAATATAAAATCTTGTTGCCATATAAATCTCGATTATGAAAAGTGCAACTGTTTTTGAAAAGACTGCGATATATGAGAGATTTACAATATTTTATTTAGAATATATAAGATAGCGAAATGTATTATGTGCAGATTTTTACATTTTCATATTATCGTAATTTTTCCTCATCATTATTATTGCATTTAATATTGCAATTACGTTTACTTGTTGTCATAGCCGAAATATTTGAAGAGGGGTTAATAAAATGAGATAGTTTTTATAATATTAGTGTATATTTTATAAATCCATACAATCTGTAAAATAAAGCGCGAAAATGAATAAAACGGGAGCATGTCTGTGTATGTACAGCTATATAAGTGTATAAACGGATTTTATATAAACCATTTCCCTCAAAGTATCATATGATGTCTGGAAGGCTGTGTTAGAGTTATAACATAAACATTATATAATAATCTCTCTCGTACATAATGTACATATAATGTATAATTCACTATACTTTGCTACATTAAAACGTTAAGAAGACACTGTATAAAAATAAATACGTCTTCCTTCTATTTCATATAGGCTTCTTCCTATTACATGCACATAGGATAGAATAGATAGAAATGAACATACAAATTCTTTTTCGATACACATCTATTACAAAACATGTCTCACATCTGACATTTTAATTTACGTATATTTTGCACTGTCGATCTTAAACTTTTTCGTACGATGCTCAAAGAAAGAAGAAAAAAGTTCATGAAAAAAAAAAATTTGCCAACGATCGTACAAAATATTAATCCACGTAATATATGCACATATATTTAACAAATTAAAATATTAAAAACATTTTAACAAAAACATTCTGAATATATTTTAACAAATACATTATGAATTTGTAACATTTGAAGGGAGCTGGAAAATATATGCTAGGTGCATATATACATATATACCTAATACTGTCGCACCACGAATGTTGAGACACATTGCCAATTTTTCGTAGCTGCTACTGATAAGTTTTTTTATCGTTACATATAATTAATATACGCGCGTTTTTATAACATATACAATTATCACATACGTCTATACACACACACCCTTCGATAGAAATTCAATTCGATGTATTTGTCTATATAATACAGCTGTTATATTGCATATTCAAGATTGACACTATCATTATTATCGGCCATGTCCATTTTGAGAACGTTCGCATGTAGCATAAGAAATCCTAAACCTTATAAATATATGTATACAGGGTGTCCCATTTTAATGCCCCACCCCAAATAACTTTCTTATTTTTAATTTTAGAAAAAGATGTTTCAGACAAAAGTTGTATGGTTTCGAGGGGGACATAAGATGGTACCATTAATTTGATCTTGAAGAGTCACATGAAGGTTACGTGAAGATCATTTTCAATTTCTTAAATGGAACACCCTATATATTTTTGCATATTCTTGTAGCTTATCTCGAGAGCTTTCCAAAACACTATAAATAAACATTTTTTCATCAAGTACTTTTCGAATTATGAGGCTTGAAGTAATTTCCTAATTTTACATAAACCATAAAATATCTTGTAAAATATTCATTTTTCGATTATCTTACCTTAATATTTTTATGTACAAAATAATGAGAGGAATCAATTGGTGTAAAGAAAACATACAGTTGTTTTTAAGAAAAAATATGGAATTGTTAATTGCAAATTACATATTTTTTTCTTAAAAACAACTGTATGTTTTCTTTGCACCAATGGATTTCTCTCATTATTTTGTACATAAAAGTATTAAGGTAAGATAATCAAAAAATGAATATTTTACAAGATATTTTATGGTTTATGTAAAATTAAAAAATGATTTCAAGCCTCATAACTTGGAAAGTACTTAATGAAAACTAATTTAATTATAGTGTTTTGGAAAGCTCTCGAGATAAGCTACAAGAATATGCAAAAATATATAGGGTGTTCCATTTAAGAAATTGAAAATGATCTTCACGTAACCTTCATGTGACTCTTCAAGATCAAATTAATGGTACCATCTTATGTCCCCCTCGAAACCATACAACTTTTGTCTGAAACATCTTTTTCTAAAATTAAAAATAAGAAAGTTATTTGGGGTGGGGCATTAAAATGGGACACCCTGTATATATGTATGTATGTATGTATTATACATTATATATATATGTATGTATATATTATACATTCATGGTTTAGGATTTATACGTGTGTGTGTATGTGTCCATGCTGCATGTGATCTTCAAATTTTGAACATCATTATAAAACAGTTTATATTTTTTTGGCACATTCTACTTGCATATTCAAAATAATCCACAATGTATCTTATAAAAATGCTCGATACACATATTTATCCCTTTTTTTAAATTATTCTTAAATAATTCTCGAATTTCCAAAAATTGTTCATCTTATTAAATTAGCAATTATAATGCTATATAATAATCTGGCACAAGGAAAACATATGGACTGCGTCAAAATTCATGACTCCACGAATGGATCTAAGATTATGGTAATAAAAAAGCTCGACTATACATTCTGTATATCATCTAATATATCTTAAACCATACATTCTTAAAGACAGATTCTTTGGATACATAATTTTTTGTACATTTTTAAATATAAACGTATACATTAATGATATTTTAATATATTATGTATTTGAGCATAATTTTGTTAGAATTATAGGCCATGCTCGAAATGTTGCAGCATACATTTATAAAAATTAAAATGCATGAATTAATGCACTTAATAATTTAGAAAAAAAAAATATTTATTTTACAGTTGAGGCCTTTGTATTAGGTTTGTTGTATTTGTAACACTACAAAAAGAACAAAAATCCTGTATAATCCTGTTAAAGATTGCACAATATTACTCATCGTATGTTTCCTACATTAACATTAATTGTCCTAACTTCAAAGAGAGAGAGAATGTATGCATATATTATATAAATTATATTACATATATAGAGAATTCTCTAATGATACTACATTACAATATTTGTTAGAGATGAGCATTATTTACATCTCATCATATAATATTTTAATATTTCATTTTCATATTCTGAAAATTACAGTCAGAAAATATCTTTTTAATCAAGATACATCACAATAATTTCAGAGTTACAAAAATATTGATAAAAAAATTGGGATATTTATCAAATTTGAAATTTTGTAATCTTAACATTTTTTGCCCATCTCTAACATTTATTATAATAACTATTATTAGGATTAATTATATAGGCCTGAATTCTTTTTGCTCTCTACTAAAATGAAGAATTTCATATAATAATATATTTAATACATATATTACTTTGATACATGTATATCCAACAGAATTTTTTTTATTCTATCAATGATATCTCTAAAATGTCTTTATGTAAGGCAAATTTATTAATTTTTTGTATAATTATTAAATATTAAAGCCAGAGAGATTTCATATTAACTTATTCACTACCAATTTTTAATCAGTTTAGAAATTTGTTTAGAGCCTGCAAAAAATATTCTATTTACAAAATTTCTTATCGCGAAAAGTCATAAAATCGATCGTTTTTAATATTATTGCTTGAAATCGTTTATTATTCTTCATTGCGTTAAAAAGTATTTAAAACTATATATTAATGAAAAATGTATTTTTCACAGTTGTTTCCCTCTACATATCGTTTAATTCAGTCTTTTATCGATTAATTTAGTTGAAAATATTCATATTTTTTAAAAGTATTCGCGATATTGAAAAATTTTAATTACACACACACGCACACACACACATAAAATATATTAAATGTAATATCAATAAATTAGATATTTATTTCGGGGTAATGTTATTAAGTCATTTAAAATTATGCATTGTAAATATTATCATCGAATTATAATTATTTGATATATGTATATTGTTTTTTTTAATATCAATTAACTATTTTTAAATGATAAGCTGCGAAAATATAATATTACATTTTGTTTATGAAGTATTTATATGGCAGTGAATACGTTAATATTATCAGTGCATATCTTTCAAGTTTTTATTTTAACATGTGATTCTTTGTCCAAGAATTCAAATGATTATATAATTATTAATAAAAGAGTTTTGTTAATAGGTATCTAAAAAAATTGTGTCACACTTTTTTTCGATATCATTATCATTTCTGTTTTGTTCTTTGCGACACAGGCGTTTTTTAATTGGTAAATTATAATAAAATAAATAATAGAAAACTTTATATAATAAAAGAATTAATTATGTAAGCAATCCGCAAAATAAACGAATAAGATTGGAAGACTAGAAAGAGAAGACAGAGAAAAATCTTCATCTTCGTTGGATTTGCATCCCTAAGAGAAGATTTCTTTGATATTCTTACAGGTAATATAAAATTTAAATCTATAACACATAAAATGTAGAGAGACATTGTGTCATAACAAAGAAAACAAATATTAAGACTCTAATTTTAAATGCCAAGTGTAAAGAGACGAATGCAAATTAGATAAATTATAAATTGTATGCGATTGTATAAAAAAATACTATCTATAGAAATCTTATAAACAATCTTACGTCAATTAATAATAAATAATGAGAGTATTATGCCATGAGTCAAATAATAACAAATTTCATATTATCAATTTTGCAACAAACAGAAATGGGATCTTATTATTAATTCAACTATATACATTCTGGGAGAAAAATCTGCATATGATTGCACGTAAACAACGGTTGCGAAAGCAACAATTTCACAATAGTCAACAAACGGAAAAACCTGTAGTCGAATAGATCACACACGATAGATAAAAATAAGGGAATGCTACTCATAAGAAGAGAGAATACACATAATAAATAATAGTCATTATGTTTCGTATAAATTTTATATAAATAGAGAATAGCAGAAAGAAAACAGGCACCTATCTATATAGCTGCATAAAATTAATTATATAATATGTATTTATATAAAAGTATGACACTGTTCCTTTTTCGATTATTTCAAGAATTTGTTGCTCTTATAGCAAATTCCTTATTGTCGCTGTGATTTAAAGAAATCTTTTTAGAGAAATGAGATGTGCAATATAGATGCATATAATTTAACACATTTTAAACAAAAAGCGAAAAAAAGAGAGTAATATAAGATATAAAAGAGTAATATATTCCACAGATTTATAAAATATTTCTTCGTAAAATGAAACTTGTTATTTGTATGATTTAATTCAATCGATACTATTGAATTATCGAGAATAGTGAATTACAAATTAATTTTTTTTTGAGAAGAGAGAGAGAGAGAGAGAGAGAGAGAGAGAGAGAGAGAGAGAGAGAGAGAGAGAGAGAACTGGAATGCAATTTACATAAAAAAAGATCTAATATGTTTTTTGCAATATTTCCTATATATCTTTCAACACACGCAAGTGTAATTATATTTCTATGTGTGCGTGTGTGTCAAAAAATATTTTATGATGTATAAGCAGACTTACTTGATTCAATTATATGTATTTCCTATATATTTTTGATTTAACATAAAATGTGTAAATATGTATAATATATTAGGTTTAAATTTTATAATAAATTGTAAATGTAATAGATAACAATATACATATCTTTAAAAAAATTAATAATTATTATATCCACAAAAGATGTAGGCTTACTTACATCTTGGATGTGTATTGCAGCATTTTATTACAACTGATTAAGAGCTCTATTGGAAGAAAAAGTTGACTAAACCTTCATTGTATAGTTGGCTAAATGAACTTGAATCATTAATATATTAATGGATAAATAATGCTAAATATATCGCATATAAATTTTTACTAAAAATGAATATATATAATATATATATAATCTTTGGAGCATAATAAATTCTTGCATCAACTACGTATTGTTTTTAATATCATTAGTTTTTAGCATCACAAGTATCAAACTTGAATATGACACACTTACAATCTTATTTTAAGTGATTACTTAGTTATAGAAATATTCATATTCATTATAAATTTACACTTTGTTATTATTAGTTATTTTCACGATGGATACAATAACTAATTAATAACAGCAATCACTTAAAATTAATCACTATATTATGTCCTGTTATCTCAGTGAAATTCATATATATTTTCTATACGTATATTTTCATACCACATACTTTGTCTCTGTTACAATCATTTGAGCCATATTAACCTCTACGATATTTACAGAAAAAGATTAGGGCACTTTAGCTTCCAATTCCTCCAATATTAATTTGTAAAATGCTAAATGTAAAAAATCTGTGTGTGAAGTACTAAAAACTTATCTATATGTGTCATATATATAAAAACATTTCTTTCTATGCTGCCTTATTTCGACTTGGAAAAAAGACTTATTATTTATTAAGAATACTGTTGTTCTGATAAAATGCACTGAAAATTTGTATACAAATATGCTAGAAATATATCTCATAGTATATTAACTAGTAGCCTCCAGTGTGCTAAGAAATGTCGAAAGTTTAAAGCGTAATGAGTTCATCAAATGAGTAAAATGAGTTTAATGACTTTCAAAAGCTTATAATGAAACTAAATCGATCTTTCCCAATTTCTCTTGTTGTCAAAACATGACTGTCATTCTGTCTCATTATAAGAAGTATAAAATATGTCACTCACTTATTGATGAATTGCTTACGCGCAGTCGTCACTAGGTCGTCTATTGTGTTCCTCGTCTTCCTCGAACCTTCGATTGGCGGAATGCGAGAGAGCGTATGTCTTGTTAAAGTCTATCGTGACGTAGCCTATCTGTGGCTTATTTGGAGATTCGGGAGGAGATGGCGACAGGTTTGCATTGTTATCGGATGTACCAGGTAAACCCCTCGTATCCAGATCTAAAACCGCGTAATTCATCTCTCCAGGATCTCTCGAGCATTCTGTCGGCGTGGAGGCCAAGGGCGATTTTTCGGATGCGCCGGAGAATCTCTTCTTCAAAGTCGAGATCTCGCTTGGCAAGTTGTAGTAAGAATGCTTGACAGTTTCTTCGTCATCCAATTGTACAACGGATAATGGAGGTGGACGCGTTCTGACGGCAATCTTGTCTATGTGATCTTGTCCGGGACTTACGTTTATGTATGGATGTTGAGATCCGCCTAAGTTAATCTCCTCCTTAAATTGATTCGTTTCGGAAGTACTATGCGTCGGAGAGATACGATTGCAAACTGTTTCGCTGTCTGTAAGGACGATATTCATGTAAGGATTAATCGGTAACGGCGATGCTGGATCACAATTAATTTCTGCACTAGGCTGAACGGGTATCAATTCTGTTTCTGCGAGTCCATTTTTTATCGCGTTCTCAACTGCAATAGTTTGTGGTGATCTGCAACAATAAAAGAGAGAATACAATATTAATACGAGTTAAATATTATGAGAATTAAACATTATATTCGATATCTTATCCGATCGATTAAAATAATGCGTTACCTTTGTATTGCTCTTCCAAGATTCTTATTATTGTTGTGTTCAGTGAGGTCAGGTGACAAGACTTCTTCATTGACGTAAGAGGACAGAAGAGGCTGAGATATCGGTGGCGGAGGCGGCAGCATAGGAGGTGGCGAGGGTGATCCCGCAGTTCCCTGGGGTGATATAGGACCGCTACTGCTTCCGACGCTGCTCAATCTTCCAATACCGTTTGGCTGGCTAATTCTAGAATCCATGATACTTCTATTAGATATTGGATCTAAGTAGTTAGGCTCTACCACTCTTGGCACTGTTGGATGCGGCGCAACTGAGAGGTCTCTCGACAGCGCATCCTCTCCATTTTTGGATACCTATTTAATGGATAAAAAAGATGTATTTCTTTGCGATATATATGTATGAAATATTAATATCAGGGAAGAAGAGGTTGTCCGCACAAACCTGAACTTTGGTTTGGACGAGATTAAATAAATCTCTTGCTTTCCTACATTTGAAAGCATATATGCCTTCGCCTGTATCGCAACGTCTGCCAGATTCAAAACTAAATAGCTCAGAGTCAAACCCGTATCGCCGTAAACAGCGAAGTGGCCACGTGGTGGCCGGTTTGCCATCCTGATGAAATATAATATTTATCTCGGTGATCTCCAAACGTCCACGAGCAATGGATTTTCCATTGTCATTCACGTTCATCACTTGGAAAACGTTCGTCCTACTATTAACGCAACCCATCCTTCGATTATCTAAACAAAAAGATGACAATAATTATATTCGCAATATAATTATTATAATTCGTAATATAATTGTAATTAATATAATTTGATACAATTACATAAAAGATTCGTTGATGTTACGTATGTTCAGATCACGGGAAGCGATAAAACGAATAGGAAAAATAAAAGGCGGCCGTTTCCGATTTTGATTTATCTCGCATATTCCGATTAAAGTGATTCAGTCATTACTAAGAAGCAAGGGAATAAACCTGCATATATAGAGCGAGATAAATTGCGATAATTGTCGCCTCGTGTGTCATCGACATCGCGCGCGAAATCAATCAGGCATATATATATATACACACCAAATGCGACATAGCCAAAACGACATGACAGGAGGAGGTCCGTCTTCCGACGAGTGCGTAATCGCCGACCGCGTCTACTCGCACGTCAGCGCGGCTATGCCATTTCACCATAATATCGAGGGCGACCCGGGAGACGAACGTACGAGATGTATAATGACGCTGACGAGAACCGCACCAAATTCGTCATCGTTTGGAGCGACGAGGCGATGAGGCGTATAACGGTGGATGTAGGCACGTTTCAATTTCAATTGCAAATTATATAAATATTTGATGAGCTCGAGAGGGGACTCTCGAGGGAGGGGGAAGACGACATCGCTTGGGTTGGGGCGGGAGACGGAATCATCGTGTCGCGCCATCTTCCGGAGACGCGTCGAAACACTTACCCAGCTCTCGAGATTAGATACCGACGGTAGATAACGATATTATCTGTTTTACCCGGAGAGCCAGGAACGCCCGCGATTTTGGGACCATTCATAAAATGACGGGGAGACCACGGATTCGAAGAGCGGGTACGTAATATTGTATAATATATAACGTACGAGGTAATAAATTGCACATAGTTCGGTATTCATAGTCCGATCTTATATTTGAGATCGTCTTAAGTTCGAGCTTGAAATGCTACGCAGCTATTTGATTGGTTGAATGAGGTCTTAAGTCAACCTCCAAGCAGACTTAAGACGATCTTAAATATAAGATCGGACTATGAATACCGGCCATAGTTCGGTCTTACATTTAAGATCATCTTAAGAATCTCATTCAATCAATCAAATAGCTACAATGCAGTCATTGATTGGTGAAATGAGAGCTTAAGACAATCTTAAATATAAGATCGGACTATGAATTCCGGCCATAGTTTGTGCAAATTGTAACTTTGTTTTTTTTTTACGTTTGTCATTTTTTACATCTTCAAATTATACGAATTTCGTGGGAGGGGGAAGACGACGTCGCTTGGGTTGGTCGAGAGACGAAATCATCATGTCGCGCCATCTTCCGGAGACGCGTCGAGACATCCACCCAGTGCGTGAGATTAGATACCGATGGTAGATAACGATGTTCTCTGTTTTACCCGGAGATTTAGGAACGCCCGCGATTTTGGGATTATTCGTAAAATGGCGGCTGGTGGGGAGACCACGGATTCGAGGAGCGGGTACGTAATATTGTATTATATATAATGTACGAGGCAATATAAATTGCATATAGTTCGTGCAGGCTGTAACTTTGTATTTTTTCACGCTTGTCGATTTTTTATATCTTCAAATTATACGAGTATCCAACGATGATGGAAAACAAGTTTCACCTGGAATCTGACGCGCGCGCGCTTTTCATTTACTTATCGTTTAAAATATAAGAAATCATACTTGGAGAAAATTATGTCGAACAAAATGTCAATTGAATTAAATTTCATCAAGGCATTAATTAATCAATACAATTAATCATTTTAATTAATATCTATTACTATAAGATTGACAAAGTTGATATTTCGTGTCATGTGTTGTGATAAGATCTCCGAACAGATAACGCACAAATGCAAATCGTTATAGCTCGTTTTAGTTCGTTGCTATTTCAGACAAATGGATTTACATAGACGCTACCGAGAGCTTTATATAGCAAGCGTCTACTCGGCTGCGTGAGAGGAAGAGAGAGGGAGAGAGAAGGAGGAAGAGAGTGGAACAAAATTACGAATCGATTTCCCTCCAATCGCAATGTTTCATCTCTCGGAAAGAATCGTCGTCCCTTCGCATGTGAGTTCTAGATTATATTAGCGTCGACCCATGGTCGATATCGCACCATTAAAATCGCTATTTCGAGATTCGATACAGCGTACAATGTATTATTAACGTTAAAATGGCATTCGGATGCAAATCGGCACGAGCTATAAGCAGGTAAGAATCGTCAACTTTTATCGTCCGATATAGTCGAGAATAACAGAGATCTAGGTTCAAATTCCCTCTTAACGAAAATTAAAAGAGACGAAAATTAATTTTCTTCATTATTTATTATATTCCATGAATAAAAATCGACAAACTTTTTGTATCATCACAGAAATGATCAACAATATTACAATTATCCCGGCTCCTTTTATTGGGCTACATTAATATTATTGACGTGTATTATTATTTTTGAAATTTTTTATTTGTATTTTTTTCTCGAAAATTTATTTTTTCTTACCAGTATTTTCGGTGCCTAAAATATTCCTGCCGAAAAATCCCATTTAGTTCAAGAACGTAACTTAATGTACCGTAAATATTGAAAGATCTTACAATAGATTCGGGAAGCGCCAAAAGTTAGGGTCTCTCGCAAGTTTTACACATAGAGATCTATATTTCTTTCTGTTTTCACTTACACACATGCACACAAGTAATATTTTCCTCTCGATATTCCCTCTGACGAGAAAAGACCGGTTTCCCATATACGCAAAGATGCTACCTTCTCTCTAAACTTTATTCATTAAAGATGAGGAAGTCTTATTATATATTTCCGGATTCGAAATAAATAGAAATTAGATGTATCCGAATATCCTTCATAATGCACGACGAATCTCTAGGATTAAAAATTATAGCTGCATCAGGAATCTTGCGTAAAAGCATTGATGTAAAAACGAAGAAATATCTTGGGAGAGAAAATCAAACAACAATCTTAATAATTTAAGTATAATTAACTATTCGTGAATCTTTAAACATCTTTTGCGCCTTTTTCTACTACGCCGATGAAAAATTAACGAGCCTAATTAAAATTACGATCGATAGATCATGACGTCACCGACCGGAAGGTATCATCATTACCAGAAGACGACGGAATATTTCGAAAAAAGGGAGAAGCGCCTTTCATATCGAACGTCCGCGCGTACCGATGACGTCGATCGGCGCTCGTTCCTCGGCGTCGTCGTCGTCGTCGTCGCCGGAGGCAGGAGTGCGGGGGCGGAGGTGAGAAAACGACGCAGAGCGTCGGCTCCGAACAGGACGCCGCCGCCGGAAAACGTAACGTGTTTTATCGATTTACGTTGGGCGGCCATGTTCGCGCGTTCACCACCACCAGTCAGGCGCACTCGGCACGTCGTCGTCGCCGTCCTCGTCGTCGTCGTCGACGAGTGATCGTCGTGGCAGGAGAGATTTTCGTCCCCCTTGACCGTTCACCGCCATCGTCGCGGACGACGTAGCGATGCGTCTGTAAAACGCCGAGAGAGTGATCAAATCTGTCCCATACGTTTCTTCGCCTCTGTTGCTCGAGCTTTCGAACGAAAGCGAGAAGTCCGTCGTGTCAAATACTTACAGCCGAGCCGAGGCCGCCGAGTCGAGTAACGCCCAGGGGTGAAAGTAGCTCGAGGAAGGAAGAGAGGGTGTACATAGAACCAGTCGAAACAGCTTCCGTGTCGTGAGTAACATTCGAGAATCAAGACCTATTCATTTCTCCAGTTCACCAGCCCGCGACGAATGTAAAATTAGTAATCGATCACCCTTCGCGAAGGTACAGCACCCTCGAAAACGCACTGTCGATCGCCTCGATTGGCGAAGACGCGCATAAGGTCTTTAATTCCTGCATGATTTTTGCGGCGAGATCTGTGTCGAGGGTGGTGACACAGATTTCGAAGAGTAAACTCTACGGGGGAGGGTAAACATTTCAATCGAAGCGATTTCATTCCTGAGCCTTCCCGGAATCTAATCTAGACAATTTTCTTCCTTTCTCGTCTTTTTCAATTCTGGTTGTTTTTTTTGTTAGCGTACATTGCTCGTGTTATTTTATACGCAATATTTTTTCCTTTCCGGTTCGAAAATGTCAAAGGAAATTAAGGGTGGTGTGGATAAATTATATATTATATATAACAATCGATGAATCTGTTTAAATCTCTCTCAGAATCAGAAGGAAGAAAAATAAGAATATAAGATTTGTCATAAATAGAATTATAGATAGAGGGTATCTATTTTTTGATCCTCGGGCGTTTCTTGATGAATGTAATTATTATTGACATTTGTAATAATAGCGTGCGCACAATAATAGGTAAGCGATTAAGAAGGATAGAAAAATTGATTTGTTACTAATGAAAAAAATGGAGTTAACATAATTTTTTACTAATATAACTTGCAACTAACACAATTTCCATAGATTCGAATCCATTATAAAGACTTAAAAAATGCTATTCTACAAGTGGATGAATATCGCGTATTTGAAGAAGTTGCGGATTAATCTGAATTTATTTTTAGTATATACTTCTCTGAAATTTGCGTTAAAAATTATTATCCTATAAAATGTAAAAGCATATTTTTTCGCAAGATAAAACATGTGAAATTCTTTCCATTTCCAATTTTCTCTATAATAATCACGACATATTGAGCACTACCGACACGACAAATCGCAATTTTTTCACGTACAAGATTATTCAATCTTCAAGAATGCAAAGTGCCGGTGAATTTCGGTAAAGATATATTCGTTAATATATCTACGCTAATTATTACGATAAACTACACACAATTTAGGCTTCTATTTCGTCAGATTAATTAGCAGTTTTTAAAGGTCGGGATGTTTAGTGCTGCGCAAGATATAGTTTCGCGAATATATATGTTGCGTTTGACGGAACATCTTTTCTCTCCCCTCTACGACATTTTTACTCGTGCTATAGCGGTCATGGGAGGATGTTCATTCATGAAAAGGGCGTTGGATGCTCTAAGAACGATCGTGCTGTAGCCGTCCTTGAGAAGGATGTAGGCCAGTCGATAGACCGTTATCCTTTAAAGAGGGAAAATATTATTGACATTTCGTTTTCTTGCGTTTCCAGTTTTGTGTTTTAAACGTTTTTGCAATCCCGTGACGATTATTGAAATTAGCTGCATAAGTTTTTCGAGACCGCTATTTCAATATTATTTTAAAAAAGTAGAAAAATATAGTAGAAAAATATTTTTGTATCCTTTATATCTTATCTCTTACAACTCGCGTGTGTGTTGTATGTTGCAGCTAAGAACTTTTAATCACATTTGTGTATTTGTGAGGAAACGTTTGAGAGAGATCTGCGAGCTTAAGTAAACTTTTCATACACTCAAATGCCATTTTTGTTCCGACTGACAACTTCTCATTGACATTCTTCATTATGTGACTGTAAAATGCATCCGCACACTCGTAATTGTTTGCGAAATTACACGGCACCGTTGCAATAAATTGCAAGGTGCATTTTTCCAATGGTTTAAGTACCTGTCAGGCTCGCGTGACAGATGTCGCAGCTACGTGACCATTATGTCAGTAGCTTATGGGAAATTTTTTTCGAGATGTCGAGACGTGCGAAGACGAGAGGAGAAAGTGACTTCCGTGTACGTATATAAAAGAATTGCTATCAATTGGATCCCGGTTATTTTGAGAACTTGCATATGGTATAAAGGAAAACAATACAAATTTCAAGCTCATTACATTCTATACATGTGCAAATATTTACATCGTCAACAAATGCAATTAAAAATTATTATACATTTATTAAAGATTTATGGAATAATATAACGCAATTCTTAAAAATTATTATACATTTATTAAAGATTTATGGAATAATATAACGCAATTCTTTTACATACATATTAATTAAAACATATTATAATTAAAATATTAATTAAAATATAATTTTGCATTTTTTTAGTTATCTCATCGGAATAACCGGATTGATAAAGACGCGAGGTAGAAAATTGGAGACGATATTGGCCGATCTACTTATCAGTAGCAAGTATTGTATTGATTCATGCTTTAAATGTCGCTCATTTACGCACACGCGCATCTAGGGGACCGTTTAGACATCCGTCCCCGACATTCCAATTAACGCGCAGCAAGGTTCGTTCATCTAATCATAGGAATTTAGGATGGCTTTAACCACGTCTGATGATAGGTTGAATGGTTTATAAATGGTTCAGAACAGGAGAGAGAGAGAAAGAGAGAGAGGATCTTCGATTATTTTGATCAAAGGGTAGATTTAACGGCGCCATTCGAGCTTTCGCAAAAAAGATTTCTATTGAACAAAAAAAAAATATATATATATTTTAGATACACAAAGCAAACAATATGCTGTTAATAGCGATAAAACATTCCGAGAAAAATAAACTTTATATTCGATCCCGAGGGAATTTCAACTATGAAATAAGTAGCTATGAAATATTTTAATCTTTTCATAGCGCTGGGTTTGAATGTACTTCGAGAAAAATTAATCCTTTACGCCTGAAATAATTTTTAATATCGTTTTATACCAGACCTGTGTTGTACGAATGCGGGCAAGATAGAAAGATAGCGCGAATCTTTGTACCGTTAATTGAAATTCTCTGTAGCAATTTTACGAGAATGTAGATGCAATTTTCGATAGCGAATAAATGAACAACAATTAAGAAGAATCGATGATTTTATTTTAATCAGACATATGATGTCAAACTTGAGAGTTTATAACAATGACTTCTTCAACCAATATTGAGAGATTTTCAATCGAATATTTATCTTTCTAGACATTTTTCTCAAGAAAACTTGTCTGAATACGCTCTGTCTTCAAAGAGCTGCCGACTTTTATCAAGACAGACGTTATAGACAGCATCTTGCGAGCTTGTTGTATCTGGGATAAGTAATCCTATTGAGAGTTATCGATTTTGCACGCCTATTGTGTTTGTGCATTCAATTGTTTATTTACTGAAAAAAAATGTAGGCGCAAAACATATATTATTTTTAAATTATACTTATATTCTTGCACCTTACATTTTTTTTTATTGATTTCTCTCCTTTCAACATTTTATGTATATAAAAATAGTTAAAGTACTAGAATAATAAAGTTAAGGGAGTGATTTAATACGAGACAGCTCATATTTTATTCGGTTAATCCGACTCAAATTCCGTCTGAGTTATTTTTCTCATGTCCTGTACTTCTCGCTTATTTCTCATATATAAGTCTAGCTATCGCCTCCTCCTACTTGTCGTATTTTCTTCCATCTCATCTCTTCTTATTTCTTACGTCGTTTAGTTATAGAATGGCGCGCACAAACTCCCACGCGCTGTTCGATAATATATCGCCCTGCATGGCAACATATCGTCTTTGCACATCACGCTTGTCCGCTTTCAGCGACCTGTCCCGGCAATCTTTTCGAGCAATTGTTCTCTGTCGTCGCGAGAGAATCGAGGCGTTAAAAATGGCGAAACCGTCGCCGAGGTTTCGTCGGGAATTGCGCGATAATTCCTGGATCATAAAAGGAAGCTCTGATAATGGAAATTAATCGAAGACTCCCCGGCTGTCATATAAAAAAAAAAATCGCTCGCACATAAGGTCACGTTCCTCAAATAATCTTCTTTGTAAAAGCCTTATTACGTCAAGGTTGCGTTATCATTGTAATGGGAGTTAGCGATTTTATGAATGGCTACTACATGTATTTACGCTACAATGCTATTTTCTACTTTCTGATAAATGGCACTCTGGTATAAAACATCTCTATGACGTCGTACACGAGTATCGTATTGCGTACTCGTTAATAACGTTCGCCGACTTATACAGCGACGAGTTTTACAGCAAGATACGCATGCGGCTTTGACGAGCGGAAACGCGTTCGTAGATTACGAAATCTCTAGTAATGTCCGTTGTTAGTCGCATGCTTCATCATCGTATATTATATCGTATATACCATGTACATTACGTCGCATCATGTCGGATATTCATTAGATCTATTTGTCATAGAAAGTTAGGAGATTGAACTTCGAGACCTATCTTCCTTCGAAATTATTAATAATCACCGAACGCGCAGGCGTTATTGGAAAAAATTACCTTGTTTACCATCTAAAACAAATTGCCTCGTCGATTCTGAGTGAATTTATAACAATGTTTTCCTGACGCAGAAAATGCCAGCGATCTTCAAGAGAGACGTAAATGCCGCCGAAAGGGCTAACGAGGAAGATAGTAATGCCGCTATCACCGATTCCAACGTAATTTTCAGTACAGAAATTGAAGAGAAGGCTGGTAAGTATTATCGTAATGTTTAATTTTATTTTTCTCTCAAAAAAGTTATCGATTTCAAATTTCCTTAAAATTTAATTGTTATTTAATATTTGATAATCGTGTATGTTTGACTTGGTGGAATATATTTTAGAGAACGTGCGTATATTCTGTATTATTGATCCTTGTTTGTATCAATTTAATATTAATATATAATTATATAATTTGTATATTAATATATAATTTGTATTAATTTAATATTAAGCCCGCGTTTGTGTTACTTTCAGGAACAGATGAGAGCGCGGTCACTGAAAGCGCGGTGAATTCCTTGGAGAAAATCGAGAACTTCGGGAAAGACTTCGCGCACGAAGTGGGGATACCACCTTGGGGTCTTGTTGCTATTTTAATAGGTAAAGAAGCGCATGCCCCTCGGCATACAAGCCGGCTTCTAATCTCAATCAATCGAGAATAATCAATCCTCATTATCTAAGTAAACGAAAGATCCTATGGCTGATTATTCCGTGAAACAACATCAAACAAAATCATACATTAAGTTCAGGCATGCAGTCATTTAATATAGATACAGACTATCATATGCATAAAAATTAAATATTTTATTTTTTATCGTATGTCTCATTTTTAAAGTATTGCATAACTGTGTTTTCGTTTCTTTGTTTGATATATATGTTTCTTTTTTCTTAAATAAGTTTTAGATATAATATGTATGTATTTGTGTGTGTAATTTATGTCAAAAATCTGTACTGAAATTTTATAATACTTATTTTTATTTCTCTCTTCTGTATAGGAGTAGGCGTAATTGTTCTCGGAATCTGCTTCTGCTGTATACGAAGATGCTGTCGCAAGAGACGCTCCAAAGATGGCAAGAAGGGTTTGAAGGGCGCGGTAGATCTAAAATCCGTGCAGCTTCTGGGCAGCACGTACAAAGACAAGGTATGTATTCGGTGTGCCGTGATTTCATGTAGATGTTAGAGATACATTCTACACTCGTGGAATCCACTTCGATATGTGAAGGTACAGCCGGATATGGAAGAATTGACGGACAATGCCGAGGAACCGGACGAAGCTGAAAGTAAGCAGAGCGAAGTTAAACTCGGAAAACTGCAATACAAGGTACAGATTGTCATTTATCGCATTTTTTATTTTTCTATTTTATTTTATTTTATATTATATGCGACTGCTTTTTGTAATCGTAAAATCCTCTCTCGTTTCATTTCTTTCAATTGTTATAAATGGAAAATCAAATTCAATCAACGAATTTTCTAAAATTAAACTGAACTCATTTCGGGAAAAATACACTAAAGAAATTAATGTAACATATCTCTAATATTGATTTTTATTAATAAAAAATTTTTATATCATACCAATACGTTTTTTATCACGATACTTGTATTTTAAATGACAAATAATCCATATTTTTTAATTTATTATTAGTACAGCTATTTTTGGTTTTGTTTTAACTTTAGTATCTTTATATATATATATATATGCATTTGATTTCAGCTCGAGTACGATTTTAATTCAAACAGCCTCGCCGTGACAGTAATCCAGGCTGAGGAATTGCCGGCATTAGACATGGGCGGCACATCGGATCCATATGTAAAAGTGTATTTATTGCCAGATAAGAAGAAAAAGTTTGAAACAAAGGTTCATAGAAAAACGCTGAGTCCAGTCTTCAATGAGACTTTCACATTTAAGGTCTGTCAAAACTTAATAATATCCCTAATAAAAGATAATAATGATTAACTATACAATTAATCTGAAATGCGATCTTCAAATAGCTTCCGATTTTTATTTTTCTCATGTTCTAAAATTGTGCATGCGAATGCATGCACAATTCACTGTGATATTGTTATTGACGAATTTATTTGTATAGAACGTCCCATATGCTGATGCTATGAACAAGACTCTGGTCTTCGCCATCTTCGACTTTGATAGATTTTCGAAACACGATCAAATTGGAGAAGTTAAAGTGCCGCTCTGCCAAATCGACTTGGCGCAAACTATTGAGGAGTGGAGAGAATTGCAGAGTGTGGAAGGCGAGGGTGGACAAGTAAGTCGATGAAACTGTAATAGGATATATGACAATATATAATAAGAATGAAAAATATATTAAATTCTTGTATTTTTCTTTGGCGTTTAAATATAAGAATAATAAAAAATTTAATGTATTACCTTCCTTATTATTAGAAGTTCTTATTAAACAATTTTTTTTTATTAATTGCAGGATAACAAGCTGGGAGACATATGCTTCTCATTGAGATACGTACCAACAGCTGGAAAACTTACGGTGGTCATTCTGGAAGCTAAGAACCTGAAGAAAATGGATGTCGGTGGCCTCTCGGATCCTTACGTTAAAATCGCGTTGATGCAAAATGGGAAGAGATTGAAAAAGAAGAAAACATCGATCAAGAAGTGCACCCTTAACCCATATTACAACGAATCATTCACCTTTGAAGTACCTTTTGAGCAGATACAGGTATGAAAAGAATATTTTATCATTAATTTTTTTTGACATTTTAGTATCTCGAATTAATGCTACTGTTAATTATACAAAATTCTAAAACACAATTTTTAAATATTGATGCGAAAAATTTCTTTTATTCATCAATAGGAAAATTACTATAGGATTAAAATTTACTAATCATTTTAAATTTATTTTCGTAATATTTTTCTACTTATGTTTGCACCGCAATTTCTCAATTAAAATGTTAAAGTAACAATAATAATATGTGATTATTCATTTCAATAATCGCAATACTATATAATTTCATATAACATTCCAGAAAGTACAACTCGTTGTCACTGTAGTCGATTACGATCGCATCGGCACATCAGAACCGATCGGAAAGGTGATCCTGGGATATAACGCGAGCGGAACGGAATTGAGACACTGGTCCGACATGCTAGCGTCTCCCAGGCGCCCGATCGCCCAATGGCATACGCTAAAAGATCCCGAAGACGGAGATAAGAAAGATTAAGTACGTTGAATTTCCAGTTGAGGTATGGCATTCAGTATCAATATGAAGTTGAACATGTAAGATGTTCCAGAATACATTAAAGTTCCAATTTAATATCTAATAATATAATTTTTCGATTAATTTGAAATAAATTGTTTAAAATTATAATTTACAACATTAATAGATTCTGAAAAGTTAAATTTAAGATTAAAGTAAAGATTGATTAAGATTAAATTTAAGTCACATTAAGATTGGCGATTTCTGGAACATCCTGCATAATCAATGTTTCTTCTTATCTTTATCTCGCTTACTCGAAGATTCAGAAAAGTTTTATAACAAGGATTCTGTCTCTGAAAGCTCTCTCTTTACAGGATAATTGATTGGGAAATGAGTACAGAGAAAAATAGGAGAGATGAAGGGATTATAGAGAAGGGGAAAGGGGAAAAAGGGAGGAAGAAGGAGAAAGCGAATAAATCCAAAGAGAGAGATAACAAATACATACTTAATAGATATTAATACATACTTAATAGATATTAATAATGATTATAATTAAACGATAAAAATACCAACCATGAAGAATTTAACATTAAAATAATATGTTCCCACGTGGAGAGTGTAGCGTCTTGTATATATATACGTATATCTAATATACTTCTCTCTGTAGATGTAATATTGAATGATTTCAAATAACGCGTCGTCCTTTTTGAGATATTGATTGAACAAAAACGAAAATGTTGAAGATCCACGAAAAAAAATATATATATACATACATATATCCGCAACCCCGAGAAAATATCTACGTCATTAGATATCCCGCAGATAGGCTTCCATCTTGATTCGGCCAATCGGCGCAAATTTCTGTCATAAACTTTCTCTAAAAATGCGTCGTTCATGTTATAAATATTATATATAATTATTTCAATTATATCGTTCGTAAAAGTAGCGGCATAATTTTCTTCCAAGGGAAGAAAGATGATGCGACACAGTTGTATGCGAAATAATAATGATGGTTGACAACACTGAATTCGCAAAAGATCCCGAAATGTAAATTGTGATTCGCCAATTGAGGGGCTTGGTAAAGAAAAAAATGTTACACAATAAAAACTTAGACTTTGTTACACAATAGTAAATGCTGGTTGGATATAAAATTATAATTAAAAATCAGCAAAAGTTGAGAATCGATATAAAATTATTTTTTCCGAAATTTTGAACAATTATAAATGATTTCTTTCAATAAAAATAATTATTGTATTTCTGTTTATATAAAAAAATTTCTCTTTAGTTATATATTTTTCTCATTCTTTTGCACCGTTTCTTTTTCTCTCTTTCTTTTTACCAGCCCCTTCAATTAAAAATTGCCGCTGGTCATCGTTCGCATGTTACGCATTTTCGCAATCCATCGCATTGTCTTGAATCGCTTCGAAAAGAATCGAGATCGCGTCGTGCACTGAACTCGCACGAAAGGTCACAGCGTGGCTCAGTGAACGTGCATAAGCTTAGCTCAGGGACGATGGACGTTTCCGTATCGATCTCCGAGTAAAACGACACACCGGCGTATTTTCGTGCAAACAGGCAATGCTTGAATCCGCGATATACAACCCCGTATACTATAGTTAGACTCATTATGCGCCACTTGTATGAAGAACGATGCGAAACGAGCCACGCGAGAATAATTATCTTTCGATTTCTAAGGCGATCTAAAAATATTCTTTTACGATTAAATAAGAAAAACATGAGAAATGTAATTTTTTTTTAAATTTTGGCAAATAATTTACACATTCTATTATCATATTATATAATAGATTATTATTAATTTACTCTTAACTGTTGCATAAAACATTTTCAAAAATAAGGAGATGCGATGATAGATTCGGATGTCGAGTGCAGACCTAAAATTATTGGGGAAGTTCTCGTTATAAAAGTTTGTTGAGATTGTAACGTTTCACGCGTTTACCATTTTGCTCGAAACATGTTCGATTTTCAAAGAAAAAATATATCGCAATCGCGCGGTGGTTTTTTGCGCGTGACTATACGTAATTTTCTACTCGCTGTCATCCATCTGTCGCTCGTTATCCGTAATATATATGTATGTGACAGACTTGCGCATCTGCATGCAACTGTGTAAAACATTTATATATACATACATATATATATATATATATATATTATATTATACGCATAATATATATTATATTGCGAGTTATACATTATCTACAGATACTGTTATCGTTTTTTAGTCGTAAATCGCGAACGGGCCTATTCATTTTTTTAATCCACATCCGTTAATCACAGTATCGTCCAGCAATCGAAGGAGCAGTGCGTGTCCCATGTTGATATCCTTGGATGTGATCAATGTGAAATATAGACGCACGGTAAACGGGTTGAAAGGGATTGCAGCGAGCATCGCGTGTGATAAAAATATAGAGCAAAATTCCATAATAATATGAATTGCAGATATTTCAATGTTTCTGCGAACGCAAGTTTGTTGAACAGGCAATTTTTGCGCAGAATTTAACTTGCTCGTTTTTGCGACAAATTTTCGAATCGCGGAGAATATTTGTCGATTATGCAAGTTCGATACGATTGGTCAAAGTCGATGATTTTAACATGAGATCTCTTCGTGTCTACGATCTCTCTCTTTCTCGTCTGATTAAATCGAAAATCTAATTTCTTTTGTAAATATATGTACGTTAGCTGCGAGTCCTTTCAGAGATCACGATTTCTCTTCGTTTGTCGATTTTCACTCCGTTCGATTATATGTCGTTACCTAATGCGATTTTACTTTTAACGCCCCCTCCGAGAGAGAAGTTACATATATACTATATCAAGTTCTAGTCACGATATGATAAGAATATACGATAACGTCCGGTTGATGATATACTTGAGGTGATCACAAGTCGCGATCTTCGTAAACACGTCTGTTTTTCTTTCAGTTATTCTTGTAAATTACAAGAATTGTGCAAACATTTTTTACGTATATTACAAAAATATATTAATCAAGCAAATATTAATTTTCTGTAACTATAAAATATATTTAGACAGAAATTTTGTCTGTTTATACAATAAACGTATATTTATTTTTTTCTTTTACACGTAAAAGATTTATTGTCGCTTCTATATATTTCTTGAACAAGTATCGAATTTTAGAAAATCTTTCAGAATTCTTATGTAAGAAATTCTTGTTAGAATTTTGATAATAATCGCACACAATAGGAAATCACCTCAAGTATAAGGATATGGATGATCTCTCGATAATATGTAATGATAACTAATGGTAAATAATAATAATCATAATAATGTTAATGATAACCACGAATAGCGAGAATGGAGACTATTTGGCGATATCTATTGATTTTAGCTTTGTATCGTAGCGTTTATTCGATATGTAAGATTATATACGCGTTACATATATATCTATTATCGTTATAACAGATGAAGATTAAAGTAATTTATTGTAGAATGAAATTCTCTTATACGCAGGAAGGAAGGGAAGGAGAGATATGCCATTTAAGAGGTTTTCTCGGAATCCTTTTCCCATATCTCCCAATGTTTCGAAGCTAATTCGGTGATATATCCATCTGTATATCTATCCTGTTAATGAGAGCTATGGAAATTCAAGTTTATCTCCATCAACATTTACTTGCGGAGATGATGGAAGCGTAACGATGAGAATTCATTTAAAAATGATTTTAACGAGATAATTTTAAGATGCTACAGATATCTTCTCCCAAAGTTTAACGAATTATAATGAAAGCTTTCTTTCTTTTATAAATAATAATACAAATTTAATTAACGTAATAAATATACAAATTATATATTTTTCAATTAATTACATGTAATTAATAAATGCATTTTTTTAAACAATTTTGTGCACTTTTTGTATAATTTATGTTTAAAAAATTACAATCTATGATAAGGATTCTTATTTTTAATTTTCCACTTTTCTTCATCGCGTCAATTATTTTATTTTATATTTTTGAGATTTTTACAGTTTGAACGATGTGATACATCTTCTTCTCATCGCTACGATTCGAAGCGAAAGATCGACTAAGGAAACTTTAATTTCATGCGTGTAATGAAAAGCTAGTGTTATCGGTTTGAAGGGATATTTCCACTTTGCGAATCGTAAGCTGGGTAATCGCCGATCAGAGATCCCTTCTCATCGGCGATCGGAATTCACTTAAAACGACACAACGCATTAATATTATATCATAACGCGCATATTTAGGAATCCGTAAATCTGATCGCCGAGCGATTAGGGTAGCGCGTAGATTAGTGGTGTGTAAAGGTATCTTTTAGTCTCGTAGCGTGTGTCTTGTAGTAGGCCTTGAGAGAGAAACCTTCCCTCCCCGAAATTTTCACCCCCGATCGCGAGATCGCGATCGTGAACAAGCTCCCTTACCTGCGCAATATTGCGCGTTACTCGGGTTTGGTTCTACCGTTTATCCAGGACCAATTATCGAATTAAACGATAATGTATCGATACATAGCATGTGCGAGAGCACGCTATTACTCAGCAGCATTGTACTTAAAATACTTTAACGAGAACTCACGAATTAATATACATTGTTGAAAAATGTAAGAATGGCGTCGACTGGGGGCAGCAACTGCGGTATTCATTTATTCGACTAATGATTGCCAAATTATCATTGTGAAAAAGAGAGAGATGAGATAGAAAAGAGCGGAAGAAAATTGGAATATTTTTTACATTCGCGCGTTCGTGAATCTAAAATATATTCAATTCTTACTCTCATGTGAAAATCAATTACAATCTATATTGTAATCGATCAATCTCTTCTTTCAATTTTACTATTATTATTATAATTATTATAATTATTATAATTATAATTATTATAATTATTATAGTAATAATAATAATAATTATTATTACTATTATTGGATGCTAATACATGTAACGTTTTTAATATCTCTCTTTTTCCGTCATTTTCCAAATAATTGCTTTATAAAATGATTTTGTCATCGACGGCCCGGTCGGCGCCATCGCTCGCGAGTTGAAAATTTAGCTAGAGATAGATCCGTTCTTTTCGGCTGCGCTTCTTTTGTACTTTCTGTACTTAAAGTAAGGCAAATCTTCACGTTACACGAAGAGGGAATTAAAAAAGAGATAGAGAAAGAGAGAAAGAACAAGCTCGCTGCCGAAGAGAACGGAATTGGTATAAGGAGAAACTATGTACGTCCTATATGTACAATGTCGCCCGTTATATTGATACCATTGATATCGATTATCTCATCCCATTTACCATTTACGAGTAACATATTTAATTAGAGGCAGTAAAGTAAAGCGCATCGATTATCGTGATTGAAGTAATATAGAAGGTAAATGTAAACACGCACCGTGATAATAGATCGTACGTGAATATTCTGGATCGTGCAGAGGGAAAGTCGCGATCTGTCCGAGCAGGCTCGTAGAGAACGATACGAAAAGAGAAGAGTTGTACACGACCATGCACCCGAATATATTATTATATATCGCAACTCATGATACATATAATATCGATGGAATCCCGAAAATCTCTCCCCCAAAGAAATATCAATCGCTTCAAGGTAACATATTCGAAGAGGTATACTTTTACGACTCACTGTGTATGTCTATTTCAAGAAAATATCACGAAACGTGCAATCTTCGAGAGAACGACCTGGAACGAGAGCGATTCTATGAATGCATCGAGTTAAGGAATGAGAGAGAAAAGGGAAGAAGAGCGAATCTCTCCGCTTTTAAATATGTATCCATACAGCACAGATCATATTGCAATATTGCTGCAATATTGCTGCAATATAACAACAATAGTCTGTGCTGTATAGGTAATATCGATACGTTAAATCCGTTCATGCACATTTGTATGCCGAGCAACGGTACGAAGAGTGCACGAAGAAGAGGTGTAAATAAAAGAGAGGAATACGCTCGCGAAAGAGAGAGAGAGAGAGAGAGAGAGAGAGAGAGAGAGAGAGAGAGAGAGAGAGAGAGAGAGAGAGAGAGAGAGAGAGAGAGAAAAAGGAGTGTATTTGTAAAGCTGTAGTTTGTAGTCTGGAAATACGTCCTCGATGCGATCGGCCCGAAATTATGAACGAACGTTGCGTTTGTATCTCTCTCCAGATTTCATTCCACACGTTGCGAAAGCAACCCGAACGATGATCCGACGATGATATGCCTTGCAAAATAATCATGAGCCTTTTAAAAACCGAAGCTGCTTTTTCCCGCTGTCAGTTAGACGAAATGTCAAAAATGATGTGTAACTTTCTTTTCTTACGTTATAAATCAAAATGATAGAGAGTTTAATAATCCGTGAATATATATTATATAAAAATTCTAGCGGAAGAAACGAGAGTAATCGCATGTGTAATAGACCAGATTGTTATAATTTATCGAGCATGACTATCCAGTCCGGGACGGTGAGAGTAAAATCTGATGGACATGTTTGCGATTTTTGTTCTCTGTTAGACTTACTAATGAATTTATATCGAGCGTTAAAGCAATCGATCGTCCATGAAAGATTCTTGCACCAAGATTTCAATTTCGACGACCTGAAGCGAGCTAAGGAAGATCGTTACATTTTTACATTATTCCAAGTGACGTTCTTTAGAACGTAGATGTATCCCAGCAAACATCAAGTAACATTTATATAACTGTTGTTTGTAATTTCCCATTCGGCAATATAATATGTCATGTAACAGTTATATAACATATATGTAACAATTATATTGCTGTGGGAAATTACAACTAACAGTCATAAGTGTTACTTGGTGTTTGCTGGGACGAGACTTAATTTCTAACTGAAATCTGAAATCACATAGGGTGAGAAATCTTCGAAACGATTGTGCTGTGCTTGGGCGTCGCGCGTCGAATCTCGAAATTGTAGGGCCGATTGTAGGGCCACTCGAAAACTCGGATGCACCTTTGCCTATATACGTACGTACTTGTGAGTATGAGTGTGAGTATGCGTATGAGTGAAAGAGAGAGAGAGAGAGAAAGAGAGTGCATCGACGTCCCGAGCATCGCGATCAAGGTTCATGCCTCTCCGGAGAACATACGCGAAAGATCCACTTAAGGGAAGAAAAGATCGTCGAGGTCATCGAGGAGCCTCCGGTTTGAAACAAGAGTGTATCTTGTAATCACATTCCATTGCATATTATATATATATATTATTAAGATTTAGTGCGACACAGTGTACTGTAAATCCATAGAAGTTATTACCGTATCTCGTAATAATTATTATGTAATAAATATTGTTGTTAACATAAACACGAGGCCTGTTGTTGCGAGGTGTTTTGCTTGCATCCGTACAAGGATAATCGTTGGAATCAAGGGCGACGAGTCGAAATCGAGGATATTGAATAAAGCATCTGCACGCGGTCCTTCGAGCGATGTCTGTATTATGCAAAAAAATCTCTTTTACGAAGGAATCGAGAATTTTTCCTGAATTGCAGGTTCAAAATAATTTCGCAGGTTACAAAATTAATTAATTGCGTATCATTAATGACATATCATGTACGTAAAATGAGATTAGAGTCTGTAATCAGAGCGAGCGTGAGTTTACATCGGAGGAAAAGAAGAATATTTTGGTGCAACTATGACATAATATCAAAAATTGATCTCCCGTTTTATTTTGAACGGGAGCTCGAATCTATCTCCGATTATGAAACGTAACATTATAAATTTTAATGAGAGACAAATTCTCAAAACAAACTCGTGCCACTTTCGAGATAATCTCCATTCACTGTTGCGCAAAACTTTTTGCTCGGTGCAACTTGACCTCAATTTTTGCACTTCCCAATGATATATGACGTTTCATTGAAACTATCGGATATTCATCGAGTAAGGTGATTTGCCTGTTGAATATATGGTCGTTAAAAAAAATTATACTTCCATGAATAAATATAATTTATGAAATGCAACACGATAAGTGTGAGAAGAGCACGATGGTGAAAGTATTGCATGTCAACCGCGTGCGAAACCATTAATTATGCTCATGATCGTACGTCAAAGGCAGTCTAGGAGACGATAAATTCTTGCGTTTCGCACAATATACAATGGTAAAAACATTTTTTATTTAATAAAAAAGGCGAGGAGACAAGATTAAATGTACAAGAAGTCGCGTGCAACGATGTAAATATAACTTATATATCAAAGTAACGTATATCTATATATATATATATGTATATAACTTAACTCTTTGACTGATTCATGTTACGACACATGTTACTCTATAATTATATTGATTAGCTGCTTCAACAGACTCAATACTGGCGGGAGGACGATTGCTTCCGATTTGTCCGTCGCTGGCTTTTTCCGGGCAGTCCTCGGGCGTACGGTTTGCGTGCGTTTGTTGACAGATAGAAGATGCCGCGTGCTCTGTCAAATATTTTCGCGTCATGTCGATGTGAATATTTTATTATGTTATTTTTTTTATTATGTTATTCTTTTATTATGTAATTTTTTTTATTATGTTATTTTTTTGTTATGTTATTTTTTCAAATAATGTCTTTTTTTTGGTTGACACGCGTGTATTTTTAGGAATATCGGATATTAATCCGTCGCAGAGCAACATGATGCAATCTTGTGACGTAAGTAGGGATTTATACTACTTACGTATGAGGGGTATCCTCCCCCATCAGGATGTGGTCCTCTCTCTTGGGATTGCACCAGCCGATCAGGTAAGAGAACAGGTTCGCGCACGGCGCCGCCCAAAATCCCTTTTTCGTCGTGATCGATTCTATGTAATACGGCGTCACCTTTGTGTGATCGCACGAGAGAGTTTCTGCGAGAATAAAGACAGGTGTATTCATATCATTGACATTTTACGCATGCACAGAAAGAGAGAGAGAGAGAGAGAGAAATCCGAATTATTCTTTCTCGATTATATGTATTATTATTTCAATTTAAAGAAAGGACGAAATCTCTTTAATTTTCTTCTGGTTCCTGTCGCGATGATCCTTTTTTTGCTTGTTTACTTACGGAGTATAGAAGAAGTGGCGCATCCGGGTTGACTCGAGCCACCGTTTACGTAAAAGTCCGCGTGGCCGGTGGGCCCCCATTGGCCCAGGATGCCCGCGGCTGTATGGATCACGTCCACAAAATGGGCATCCGTTTCGTCTAAATCCATCGATCGGTTGCCGTTCATGTAGAAAAATATCGTCGGATCGAGGCCTGCAAAAAACAGAAAGCAAGTGAATCGTGAATGTCGATGCTGTACATGACATTTACTTGTACATGACATGTACTTGGACATTTACTCTCAAGACGTAATATCGTTAATAAATAGACATGAAACTATGATTAAAAGATGTACGCATTTTTATATCTATTTTTCTATTAACTTCGTTCGTTACATTATTTTGCAAAAAATAATTTTGGATTAAAGTTACAATTTTAACCCTTTCACTCCCGTAGGGACATATATGTCCCGGTGATATAATTAAATAAATTTTGTTTGTCTTGTACTTGTTGAACCTTCTTTCTCAGTATCTAACCCATGGAATTATAAATTTTCAAAAATGCAAAATCAGGAGTGAAAGGGTTAAGATAATTAGAAATAATTAATACATTTAATACATAATTAATTTAATACATTAGGAAAACAATTCTCCCTCTCACGTTAGAGGGAAAAATCACGTATTACGTCCAGAGGATTTAAACAGAGGATTACGGGACAGCGATCGGCTGCATACGAGCAATTACCCGTAATTCTCCCGAGCTTGTCATTGGGCAAATAATTTGCGATGAGTCCAGCGATATGCGCGCCCACGCTGTACCCGAGCACGTGTATGTTTTCCGCCCTCGTCCCGCGCGGATGGTCCCTCAGGTACTTCACCAGCTGAGCGATGCATTGGGAGCAGAAATCCGGACCCCATGAGATCTGCGAGAGACAGGGCTCGCGTACCAACAAACCGTAATCCACGATTATAATATTGTAATCGCCTCGCGTGAAATACGCTGAAATCGAATCGTGATGGTATTTTTCGCTAGTTTGATTCAACGCTTATTTTCACTGTGCTTTCCTCTGTAGCGTCTCTTATAGATTTATTTATGTATTTTTGCGGTTTTTCAACGATGATTAAATTTTATATATAAAAACAAATTTGGGATTTTTTAATCTACTTTTGAAAATTAAAATCTTTCTTTTAGTGTCTTATACTTTTTTTTATGTCATATATATTATTTCATTAATTATATATAAAAAATGTTTTCTTCATGTTATAAATTATTTTTGTTGCAAGAATATGAGAGCAGGCTACAATTTAAACGTACAGAATTTTAGGAGGGAAATGGCTAATCTCACCATCTCGTAAATCTGTGCTGGGCGCTAAATTTCGTCCACCGCCGAAGCCGTGAATAATGATCTTCGTCGGATGGATCTTATTGAACGTGGAATTTCGGAGGGAATTAAAATCTCGAACGTCTAGGAGCACCGGATTTTGTTGCGTTTCCCTGAAAATTGCGACAAATATGAGATACGTATGCATATGTATCATGTAAATGCAACTTTTCGCCGATGCAACTCACATCCGCTACGTAAATATAGACGATAGTGAGAGCATTGGACGATACTATAGACGCCGGAGAAAGGTGAGCCTGGAAAGGAGGTTACTTTCCATAGAGAATGAAATGATCGTGATCTTGAAACTGAGAGTAACGTTGACTATTTCCTCATCGCAAGTGTTTGCTTTTCTAAACACTTGAAAACTTGGAACGTGTCAATATACTTGAGCACAAGATATATCTTAATTTTAAGATCAACACCCGATTTATATTTCAATCATAATTTTTATTAAATGCGTTTTATTAAAGTTATGCAACGGAACGATTTAATGTTGAAAGAACAGAAAGCTACCTGGTGTACAGATAGAACTCTATCTGCGGATGCGGACAGATGTAAGGTGGTTTTGCACAGGACGTGCTGTTGAAGAGATCTTTGATAGTCTTATCTTGAGCCATCGCATTGTCTGGAAAAATAATCGGAGATCGATCGATTTAATCTTCTTTCTCTTTCGTTTTTCAATATACGAATGACACTTACGTTTAATTCATCGTCAGTTAGTCGTTCAATCGTATCACGATTACGTGTCTCGTGCATTAGAAATTATTGGACCGTTATGCGAAACTGGGTGAAGGTCGGTGATCTTGTTAGTTTATCGCCGATATACTATAAATAAATTTCAACGGAAGAAATCGAAGATGTTGCACTCGCGCTTTTCCTTGTCTTTTCATCAATTTTTAATCAAGCAATTTTTTTAACATGGAGATACTTTTTTATTGTGAAATAATTAATCGTGAGCTTCAGATTTGTATTGCATTTTTTTACGATACACGTGACAGATAATTCGAGAGAGAGAAACAGAGAGTTGTTTTATTCATATTATTCTTGTTAGTGAAGGAAAACTCACTTACAGTAAAAGTCAAGATCATGAAAGTAAAAGTTATCGCGACCGCTACAATTTCAGCCTCGAAGAAAGTTATATTAAAATGGAATTCCTTTCCAGTTTAATTATGATTTTTAAATATTATTGTGTAAGATGCCTTTCACAATATAAAGTATGTATTACAAATCAAAGTATTACAAAATCGTCTCTATAAATATATATTTATGTAAAACATGTTAAGAATTTAATAAATAATCGATAAAAATTAATACTAAATCACGGATGCTTTTCTGAACCAAAATTTAATTTAAATGGAAGAGAATTGGAATTAAAAGGATTATAAAAAAGTAATCAAGTGTGTAAGAAATAAAAAGACCGCAGAGCTCAAATAAAGAAGCAATTAAGACTAAGTGCACATTGATGTAAACTGCAACTTGGACAATATTCGAAACAAAGCCCTTTTTCACGGTAAAAACAGAAAACCTTTTACCTTTAACTCAAACAGACAGACCAAATGCTTTATTACGTCCACAAAAGGAGCACTTTTATCTTCTGACTTACCACGTACGTTTACGTAGAAGTGGCTTTGTAGAAATATACGGATAAAAGCAACGGAAGAGGAGCAAGAGGGAAGATCCTATCCGAGGATGCCTAGATCATCCCTTAGGTAGCACCCGTCAAACCCGCGCAGCGCGCACCCAAGTTCGAGATTCGAGAAACGGGACGTACTTTACAAAGGTGAACGAATCGAGAGTGTGACGTTACTTCGAGTTACTCCGGTTACTTACGGTGCTGCAGCAGGACACAATAGAGCACGAGGAGAGCGTGGTATCTCACGACACTGACCGCCATCTCCCGCGGTGGTCCCGTGATTTGTGATATAACATCCAGGCACGAAAAATCACCGTACGGACGCGAATCCCGTCGCCGTGCGTACACGATTGCAAAATGCAAAGTCATCAAGGGGGATATATATCGGCTGCGAGCGCGGGGGAATTTAGAAAGTGACGAGGAGTACAACTCGCGCTACGGGGCGACGCTTTTACGGCTATTTCTTACCGGCTTCTCTCTTCTCTCCCGCTTCGCATCCCGATGCATAGCGCACGCACGTACGCACGCACGACATATGCGTGCGACAGGCCGCGCCGATCGAGCTCGCACGCGAGTGCGAGACGCACGTGGATACACGCATGTTCCTTTCATCGCGAGATATAGATCGATCTTAGCCTTTTATAGTGACAAAACGACTTGTCATTGCTTTACGTACGTCATTCACGGATGCATTTCTGAACCAAGTAAAATTTAATTTAATTTATATTTATATTTTTAGATTATAATTATATTATTTTTATTATATATATATTTAATATATATTTTATTATATATAGTTATTATATATATTTAATATATATTTTATTATATGTATATTTATTATATATATTTAATATATATTTTATTGTATATATTATTTATTTTATATTATATTTTAATTTATATTTTTATTTATATTTATTTTAATTTTTATATCTCGTAAATAATTAAAGAAATGTAACCATTTAATCATTTTTCACCTGTCAATTTTCCTGGTAATTTAATTAAACCTTGATTTTTTTAATTCTCAATTCTAAAAGTTAAATTAAGTTTTAATCTTTAAGAAATCTTCAATCGCACACATTTATGAATAAATAAAATAGTTATATATCTGTACATTATTATTTTTCAATTATATAAAATAATAATGTATAAATATATAATTTTTTCATTCATTTGCTCGGACAAACTGTGAGTTGTCATCCCATTATATTTTATTGTTTTCTTTAAAAAATGTGTAAATTGAAAAGTATTATTAAAAAAAAATATCAATTTCTTTTAAAGAATAAAAATTTCGTCGCATTTTACGAAAGTGTAACATTTTGTGAGAAATGATTTACCCCTACACAATCCTCGATGTTTCACAAATGATTACAGGCATATTAGGAAATCATCTTCCGCGTGCGTAATAGATTAATTTCACGGGATATTATTAGAGAGTTAATTTTCGCGTACGTACCTCGCGGAAATGCTCTCTGCATAACTACAAAATGGTACGTTTCCATAAACAAAGCATTATGCAACTAGAAATGAGACTCCGAAGCGTTTATTTAACGATTGTCGCACACAAATTACCGTTCTACTTATGGTCAATTGAGAAAGATCTCTCGCAATATTATCTCTTTCAACTGTCGCAAACTATTTGCTTTCGTCTGACATCCTAATGTATATATATAATATTTCGGGATAAATTAAATATATAGAAAAAAGAGAAGAAAAGGAACTATCACGCGCGATTGTGTGCTTAATTAAGTTTAATTCATTAAATAAACGTAACGACAATAACGATAATATGCATGTGTATATTTATATGTAAATATGATAACGCAACAAGTTGAAAGAAGATGCAAATGCGAACGAGGACATGTCTATACTATGTTTATTAGCTTCGAGTCTTGATAATTATCGAGATTCGATTACGATAATAATATCAGTTTTTGCTCGCGGTTCGCGTCCTCACTTTGTATTTTTTCCTTTGTATTTTTTCCTTTTCCTTTTTGAGAATACGATTTATAAGAATAATTTATCGATTTATAAGAATAATTTATCGATCGACTTCCTCGGCATTGACACGATATATAGTAATAAATCGCGAATATTTAATAATCGTCGCATTTATTATTTTCTGCAAACACGCGCTTCGCTCAAAGATCCAGGTGGAACGAGTTTTGAAAAGATTGGCTTACGATTTATTGTCAATTTATCGCCAGAATGTGCCTCTCGTTTTAATTACATGATACACTGAAAATTACAGTATTACATACATATGTTACATAATAATTAGCGTTGCGATAATCAGTAACAAACCAGATTGCACCGGCGTGTGATAACAATAATCTCTAATAATGCGACTACACGTACAGTAATAGAGAGTGAGCCCGCTAATACAAACGATCAAAATAGATTATTTTTTTTTTCATGTTCGCATTACGTCACCTCTCGCTTGGAAGATTATTAGAAAACATCTCCGGAATATATATAATTTTATTCTCGTAAAGAGGCGAGATTATAACAATGGACAAAGTATATAGAGCATAAACGACGAGGATATATTAGACTCGACTTCGTTTTCTCGCGATTTACAATGACGGGGAAAAAACGCGCGTGTCTCTGATACAGCTTTTGTCTCTCTAAACATTCAAATTTAAGATGCGTCCTTTCCATAAACCTTGCGTCAAGATCAACCGCGGTTCAATCGAGTCCCCGAGTCGCTTCTTCCAGACGAACACAAGTGAAAATATCACCGAGAATCGATTATTAAATATTTAAATATTTAAATATTTAAATATTTAAATTAAGTATCCGTTAATCAAGGCTTCCTTGATCAAGGCTTATGGAAATCGCGGAAAATTCTGAACGCACGAAGATGTGAATCACGATCGTGTGCGCGCTATTGACGCTGAACTCGCGTTTTGCTCCAGCGTAGGAAGAGCAGATTCTTTTGATTCACACGTAATCCTAATCATATCGATAATTCTTAACAAATGTAAATATAATTAACATTATTTTATTGTCTATTAAGCTTCAACGGGCAGTATTTCTCAGCCAGCAAGACATACTGAAAAAAAAAAACGACGAAAATAACTCTTTTTCGCAAGAATGAAGCTTTTAATAAAGTGAACCCCTGGCGATTAAGATAGCAATTATAAAAGGCAACTTACATAAAGCAATTATTCGTGTATATCGCAACGCAATCTCTTTCTAATTTAATTGTACTATCGCGCAATCGCATTTTTTGCACAAAGAGCGATGCAGATATTTCGCGTGACGCAAAACAGTCTCCTCGGATCCTCGCTCGAGGCGCATCGAGAATATAACTACAAGAGTTTCCCACAAACGGAAATGGTAACAATGAGAAAGTTTGCTAATCTACACTCGATCCGTAATATCAAGCCATCAAAAGCTTAGTATGATAACACTTATTGATTAATACTTTCTATATTCTCGGCGTGAAATTCTCGCTTCGTCTGAAAACATCGAACAACAACGTCGCAAGTAATGAGAAATAAAATAAATATCCTTAACAAAACACGTATATGTATCTACATAAAATAAATATAAACGTTCGACTAACTATATATATTTTAATTAAAAATATTTTAAAGGAGGAATAAATGTATATATCACATTATCTCAATTAACTATGTAATAACATGTATGAATCTCGCGAGAATTTCGCGTCATTTTTACAATTTAATATAATATATATATCTCTCTGAAATTCTCTTTGTCTATTTATTGTACTTACAATATATTACTTTCATTCTTTCACGAACTTTCGTCGTTATTGTCGATATAGTAATTGATATACTTTCGTAAACACGTTTAATCGAGAAATACGCAAATTAGTATTATTTTAATTACACGCCGCGCGGAGGATGTACAAATAGCGACATATACAGATGTATTGTAATTACACCGTATATGTATAGCTATGTATAGCATTGTAATATTGCGTAAGTATATACATATATCAGGTATATTGTTTGTTTTTTTATTAATATGTAAGTGTGTATAGAGATGTGGTTGCGTATCGTAAATTCTGTCGAATACTTGTGTCCCTCTTCAGAATTATAAGTATAATGTATCTTTTCCCCTCGTTTAAATCATGAAACTATTGTACTTGTTTGAAGCTGACTTCAATAATGACATATCTCCCGTAAATTATTTCGCGTTCCAAAGCTGTGAAATAGTAAAATATTACATATATAGAGTGTCTCTTAATAAGTGCGGAAAAATTTGAGGAGATGATTCTTCGTCGAA